TGCGCACGAACAAACGCCGGAGTTCACTCGAATAAAACATCTGCATCATCTTAACAACAACAAACAAACAAACAAAAAAAATCAAGAAACAGTTTCTGGAGGCAGAGTTGATTGTGCAACAGTGTCCAGCCTGAGGTCATCATGTTCTCGAGCAACGCCAGTACCTCAAGTGTGGGTCTCATGGGTTTTGAGTCATTAGCGAGAAACTGTATTTTTGGCTACACTTTGAAACGGATCGATTGCAACATCGCCAGTCCTCGAGAGTCTTCGCAAGTCTCCTTGTATGCAGCGAGACTCGAGGGCTCGGAACATGCATGCCTGCATGCACACCGGGTCCACACACTTTCTCACACACGACACACACACACACACACAGAGCTCGCTTTTCAGCGCTTGGTCAACGCCAGGCAGGAAGTAACAGCCTACTATGCTGATGTCTTCACTTTGATAAGGAGAGATAACGGCCACCTCTGTGTCACCGTGCCAGCTGCGTACCCCCCCTTTGCTTGCCGGCCCGCCCGGCCCTCGCTTGCACGCATCGGACCACCCAATCTACCACAGAAGACGAGGGCCCTCCTCTCCCCCGACTCTCCTTGTCAAGGGGCAAGGCCCCGCAGGATCCTGCTCCCAGTGTCATGCGCCCGTCCCAATCCATCCTCAAGCTGGCCCTCTGGCTCTGCCTGAGCACGGCCCCGTCCCTCGTTTACACGCAAACGGGCTTGCGCTTCGACGGTGCGTACGCTCTCGCCACTCCATCACAAGCCCAACTGTGTGATTCGTCAAGATCACCTCCTCGCTGCGCCGGGCTTCATCCCCACCTTGCGACCCATCTCATCTCATCTCCACGGTTTGTGTGCTTTGATTAGGCCAAGCCGATCAGCATGTCGTTGAACTCGAGCTGGGCGAGCTTCAAAACGAAGTTATTCTCGGGCTTCAGACTGTACAGCCCCGCGCCATCCTCCTTCACATGTACGCAACGATGCGCCAAATTTGGAGGACCCCCACCCAAGTTTCTGACCTGGGTCGTTCATCTTTCAGTGCACCCACCACTGCCTGCCCATGCGTTTACACATGCATGTTTGCTGGCTCACGCAATCCGCGCCGCAGCGAGCCAGAAGTGATGACGGCTGGTGCCGAGGTCGATGGCCTAATCATTGACCTCATCCAAGGCCGACCGCGCGCCACTTTTGTTCTTGGTACGTCACAAACATCACTGGATTAGCACGCAGCATCCTTCCCCGCCACCGCCATCCAACCGCCTCCTGACCCCGTCCTTGTCCACAGGGCACCAGCAAACCGTTGCTGCCTGTCAGCGTGCCGTCAACGACGGCCAACCCCACACTTTGGTCAGTCGCAGCTGCAACAGTGCCGCCCACGTCCTTGCCCTTGTATCTCCCACCATGCTCGCTATACCCCTCCTCACGTCACGTCACGTCACGTTACTTTCTCTCCGCCCCCACCCACTCCACTTTGCCAGCGCCTGATCCGCCAAGGTCGAGCTCTGTGGATGACCGTGGATCAGGGCGAGGAAGAGTGCCTTGCTACCACTCAGGTTTGTTTGTCCCCATGTTCCGTCTTTTCCCCTCAGTCTCGCATCCTCTGGCCTCAGGTTCTACAGACTGGCTCGTCATGGCGGCCAAATAGTTCCTTCTCATGGCACCAGGCCTCACCTTGTCCAAACATCCCGCGCAGCTTTCTCAGCAAGGGCTCGGCCTCCGCAGTGGAGGGCGCATCGCCCTGGCTGCCATCACATCCGCCTTTCAACCAGCCGTTCGGGGTGGTCCCGTGGTAAATGCGCTTGGTTGCCAAATCGTCTCCCAGATCGCTTGGCCTTGAGGCCCCACACACACGTGTCGCAGCAGCTCAAGCGACCGATGGTGCACGGGCGGTTCGAATAGGCACACCACGATCCCTTTGAAGGCTGCTTGTTTGAAGCGACCATCGACGGCATTGGTCCGTCGACCCTGACAGCAGCCATCTTCTCCCACCCAACATTCATTGCCAGCACTCACTCACCCCCCTCACAATAAATACATCAAACCTGTCCTCGGCAGATGCGTTGGCTGTCAACAACACACTCCTCTCGCATTGGTCTGGGCACTGTGATGCCAGCGCCCCACCCTGTCAGCTGGAGAAGACCACCTGTTCTTCTCACGGGACCCCTGTCTGCACGCGTAAGTCTCTGGCTCTTTATAATGACTGAGAATTAGCTACCTGGTGTCACATCTTACGCTTCGGGAGCTCATTGACCATGTGTCATCGCTTATCTGCCGCAGCATCGGGCCCCGCTTGTCGTTGCACTTCCGACTTTTTCGGCCCCACTTGCGCCCTGGCTCAGCTCGGTTTGTCCATGACCGCGCAAAAACGCCTTCAACTTCCTAGCGGCTCGATCCTCCCCGCTGCAGCAGCTGCACGACTCCCTCAAAATGGCTGTCCTTGACCCTTTTTTTCCTCTCCATCATGCCTGCAGACTTGTTCACGAATGATGAAAAGGAGATCTTTGCATTGGATGCGTGGGAGCTTTCTTCTAATTTGCTGACCACCCTGCGTTTACGGCTTCCCAGTGCCACGCCGCCCGCCGTGCCCCTCACTTTGGCTCGGCTGGGCGCGAACGACCCCGGAGAAGATGCTCTTGAGGTGGTTTGGCAAGCCCACGCCTTGGTGGTGCTCGTGCATCTGGGTGGTGGTCAGGTCCTGCGCGTGGACAACCCGCTGCCTGCGCCGGACAAATGGCTATCCCTTGCCATTCGCATCGCCCCTGCCGCTCTTCAGGTGATCGCGGACGGCGTTGCCACCTGGGCCACAGCGCCAACATCTGGGTACCACCTCTTTGATCTGACGAGCCCCAACGCCACCCTAACGTACGTTTCACCCCACTGACACCCGCACACGACGGCCCGTGCTGCATCTGTGTTTTTCTGATAGCCGTGTCGCGCCTCATTGCCTGCAGCTTGGCCGGCCCGGCCCTCTATGCCGCCGTACATGTTCAAAATACGCCCTTGTTTGAGCAGCTCCCCGCCCTCCGGTCAGTGCTCTGGCTTCATGACGTGGTTGGACTCAACGCCGGCTGTTCTGCTCGCTGGTGCCTCCGATCGGAAGTGACGCTCACGTGACCAACCCGAATCTTTTCCGTGGGCCAGGCTTTCCAATGCCGATGCGAGTTTGAGCGCGGCATTGGCGGCACCCGCGGCCACGACCTCCCAAACTCTGGCCGCCATTGCTGGTGAGTCTTGGTCCCGTGCTGCGATGTGAAGCAACATGGGTTCGGAGCTCGCCAGCCGTCCACACAGTGTGTGCTCATGTCGCCGCACGCACCCTCCACAGATGGCACATACTACGATGGGAGTCAAGCAGAAAATCTCACGGTCAGCGTGGCCAGGCATAACTGCTTTTCAGAAATGGAATGTTTTTTGGGACAGCATAGTGCCTGACCACGCCTAATCAAATCTGCAATCGATCTGTAGGTCGTGATGCTTCAGAACAGCGCCGTACTTCAGCACAACGGGAGCGCTAGCTTCACGTTGTCGACTTTTGATGCTGGTACGCAACTTGCTGGTGGTCCTTGCTCAACTTTTCCCTTGCCTCGCCATTCACGTGCATGTTTCTGGACTTAGATGCCATCCTTTTGGATGTTTATTCCACTCAAGGGGATCGCTTGCAGCTACGCCTGAAAAAGGGTCATTTGGAGCTGGATTTTGATCTGGGCGGAGGTCTGCGGCGTTTAGTGGTCTGTCGTCGGTCAAACCGTCTGTCTGCTTCCTTGATCTCTTGGAGTCGATGCCGAGCTGACTCGATTTACATCTTACCCGCCCCTCCCTTACCCACAATCATTTGGCTACAGGGCTTGACATCCTTGAACAATGGGCGCCCGCATCTCGTTCGCCTGGCTCTGCTTGAGACGAATGTTCAGTTGGCAATTGATGCTGAGTTGCTGCAACTTGCCCTGCCCGGTGGCTACAACGGTATGTGTGGAATTGGTTGTCTTTGAGACTGCGTGCGACCACAACGGACCTCATGGCCCCTGACCACTTGAACACAGAGCTGACCGGTGACAGCACCATCGAAGTGGCTATTGGCTATGAGGGATGGCTTAAATATCGACTTAAATAAGCCTCTGTCATCTTTGCAATCGACCTTTGCTGTGTTTTTGACCTCATAAGTCTGCACTGCTACTTCACGAAGCATGTCAATTAAGCGCATGTAGATGTCCATGGTACGAAAAGCACCAAGGAAGAGACAAGCCAAGAAGGGTCGCAGTGCACCAACAGCTTGGGGCGAACCTGAGCTCAGCGTACCCACGCGGCTGTGAAGTACATACCAATCTCTTCTGGTGCATCTCCCCAGTCCCGTAATTCAAAGTCGATAATAGGAAGATCTACGTGTGTGGCCGCCCAGCAACAATGATGGTCATGATTTGCACAGATCAAACCCGACCCAAAGAGCAAGAGTCAAGCACCTTTCAAGTGTCACTCACTCGAAGGCTCGCCCACTAGGTCAGCAACACCCGATAGAAGCTGATTGTTGTTGTTGACATGGCACTCATCGTTGCGCACCTACCATGCGCACCAAGCATGTCCATACAGAAATCACATTCAAGGCAACGCATGAGAAAAGCTATCTATAATAATGAAAATGAAAACGAGCCAATATGGAAACGAGCGCTTGGCCCACCGTGTAGTCATCAATGGTCCAGACATAGCCTTGTGAGGCCTTGAAACGAACATCGACACCGCTGCCAATGCTATTGAACATGTAAGGCGTTGTCACGGGCTGTGAATATGTGGGTCCGGTGCCAATGTTACAGCAGGGCAATGTAGCAGCATGGCCCCTGTAGGCGGCACTTACACCACGACACCCTTGCATTGCCAAGCAATGGTTTGCCATCCCTCAAAGGAGAGGTCCAGCAGGGCGGTCAGCTGTGATCCGGAAATGGAGTACTGCAGCTGCGACCCAGCCGACGTGCCTGATCTCACCCGACCATCCGGCAGCGCATGCGTCAGTGGGCAGGCTCTATACACACTCGACAGGCGCACTCATCTTTCGAACAACGAGCTGATGGAAAACCTACTCGAGTACCATGTGTACGCGTCCCCAGAGGCTCCAAGGTAATGCGCCAACGGCACCTGTGGACATTGCACAAGACGGATGAGCGACCGCGGCCACCCCACCCATAGCAAAGGCGTCGGCCACGCGAGGCACCGATCACGCTACAGGAATCCAAGGGCCATGTGGGTCACCTGCTCTGATGGGTAGATGCCGGTCCAGCCACCCCCAGTCTGCAGGCACATTGTTTTCATAATGACAGGACATCACAGGTGAGGCAAGAGGGCACAATGCAGTCAACAAAGACGGGGTAGCTCAAGATTACGAACAATGTTGCAGAAAACTTTGATCGCGTCGCGGTGCGAACCGCCATTGGGATCAATAAAGTATTCACCATCGGCGGCATAGGTCGCGCTCAGGTACAAATCATAGCAAGTCTTGGCCGGATTGAATCGGGTGCCTAACATGCCATTGCTCGGTGCCTTGTAGGCACCCGAAACGTACACGTCACCAAGCTCCAGTCCAAACATTTCCCCGGCCTATCGCCAGGAACCAATGTTGCAACATAAAAAAGCCGCGTACATATCAAGAACAACAGTAAGCCTGTTGCCAAGTCGTGTCGCAAAAGGTGCACGAAAGAACTTACACCACCAAAGTCATAGAGGTACAGATCTGCCACGGGCAACGAAGCAGCTGGACCCTCCAGCAGAGACACAGTCTTGCTAATCACGCTGCCGCTATTTTGATAGCAGCCATCTTGGATCAGGCGCGGACGGTAGATGCGGCGAGCCTCTACCAGTTCATCCGCCGTGGGTACGGTCCAGGCATCGCCACTGTGCCAAAGATGCGCCAAACAACCGCGTGAGTGTTGGTGTGTCTGGCAGCTTTAGTCTTGCTGAGGAACGACACTCACTCAAGCGAAGTCCAAATGGCAGGATAGGCATAATAGCTCCTGTTGTTTGTGTTGAGAAAGTTGATGATGCCTTGGCAGTTCAGCGTCACCTGCTGCGTGGCGTGTGATGACTGGGCCTATCACACGAGCACATGAAGGCAAGTGGGATGAAGAAAGGTGAATATGGACAAGAGACAATTTGAGGTAAGGGAGGGAAGGGAGGGAGGGAGTATAAACAAAACAGTCACAAGACACAGCCACAGACGCAGCCACAGCCACAGACATAACGGCAGGCAGCCCATACCATTAACGCGCGAATCTGGTGATCAGGCAGGCCATAGTCAAATGCATGGGCAGCAATTTGATCCCGGACATTTTCATAGTTGTCAGCATCATTGTCCAAAACCACGTGATGAGCCAAGGGCAAGGCGGTGGGTGCCGCAATCACAGTGTACACCAGGCCGTTTTCCTATCCGCGTGCGCGTCAGCAAATGATGAAGCAGAGGCCAGGACCAGTGAAAGAAGGCTCGCCATTCTTGGTCACATACCACGTGGCAAGTGGTTTGAACAGCATCCAAGACATCACCACCGTTTGGATCTGATCGAGGCGATAGGAAGTCCAGAGGCGAGGGCAGATGAGGCTCGACAAAACACATGCAGAAAAAAAAAGGAGGTCGCAAACAGGCAGGCAGGTGCAAGCACAAAACACCACCGACCAATCCAGTAGGTCCCCGTAGTCATGGCGGGTTTGACAGCCAGGATTTGTTCGCAAGAGCGAGCTGAAGCGGCGCGGCTTGCGCCGTCCATAACGGTGGGCTGATCCTCGAGTGTGGCCACGCGGCCTGTCAAAGCTGTAATGGAGGTTTCCAGTGCGTCGTCGCCCTGATTAACAAGTACGGCCAGAGCCAACACAAATGAGCCTTGGACCAAACAACAAAATGGTATGCAGCACCGGGCGTTCCAGTCGCTAGCAGCCGCGTCACCTCGGATATATCACTTGACAAGGCGGTTTGAGCTGCGGTGAGCTGCGACTGAAGAACAAAAGGCTGATTTTCCAGGTTGGTGACTCGAGAGCTGACGGCATCGACGTCCTCGGCGACTGCGTTGCTCAACTATGGCGAGGAGAGACCGCAAAACGCGCCGTGGGCCGCCAAACAGTGGGTGAACGCGTGCACGACCACAAGCATAGCAGTTGCCGACAATACGACAGGCGACTCAGCACCAACCTCCGTGCGGTTGCCAGCAATTTCCTCGCGGACGGCATTGGCCATGTCTTGTACACTCGAATCCAGTCGGGTGATTTCTGCAGCAGTGCTGGTCTGCAAGCTATCCACCTGATCCTCAATCGTATTTGCTCGGGTCACAGCGCTATCGATCTCCTGTTGAGCACGGTCGTAGCAGGAGGAAGTGTGGTACGACATTCCATTTTGAGAATCACCGAGACAGGTTTGCCACGCATGGAACAAGCACAACTTTGGTCTGCACATCCCGGCAGAATTTTCCATTCACAAACAGCATGACAAGCAAAAAGAATAATAATAATAATCATAATCATAATAACAACAGGTTGATCGAGAAAACAGCACAACGAGAGAGAGCGCGAGCGAGGGGCCCCGAAGACGGGCGCAGATGAGCGGACCTCGAGGAGGTTGCTGCTGATGGTATCGGCGGTCACATTGAGCGAGTTGTTGAAGAGCTCGTGCAATTCTCGGCGATTTTGCAGAGTGAAGAAACTCAGATTGGCATAAGTATCAGCTAGCGCTTGATCCATCTGTAGCCCCCAGGCGATTTGGTTCGCAGAAGGATGAGCTCTCCCTTTGGGGCTCTTGGCACATGTTTAGGCGCAGGTTCAGGCAAATCATACTTGAATTCGGCTCTGATTGAGGTTGCTTTCCAGTGTGGCAAGGTCTTCACGGTCCGCGGCCATGCTGACGGCCACCTCTTGCAACGAGGATTGCAGGCTGGAGTTGAGGGCCTGTGATGGGTGGTCCAGGCAGCACAAAGCCAGTTGTCAGTTTGAACCAAGTTGTGAAGCTCACCCTTTGCGGTCAGGCCTCGAGGCTTACAGAGATGCGCCCATTGGTGGCCGCATTGGTCTCTTGAAGATGATCATCAAGCTGAAGAAGCGAGTCATTAAGATTTGAACCAGGAGGCGAGAGTGGGGGAGCATGAGACGTGGTTTGGAAAAAAAAAAGAACTGTGCTTTGGTGCAAACGTGGAAAGACGGTCGACCGAAGCGCTAAAACAGACGTACGCGGGAGAAATTGGTCGTGACGGTGCCCTGCAGAGTCGCCAAAGCACCTTGCAGGGTGTTGGAGCGGCCTTGAGCCTCAGCGGCGACACTTGATAGGTTTGTGTTCAAGGCGTCGACGAAAAGGCCCATGTCGAGTTGGTTTTGGTGCAGCTCAGCAACGTCCACCGTGTGCCCATCGACCTCAAAGACTGCTGCCTACGTACCAACAGGAGACATGCAAGAACGGCAAAAAAGGAACAGGCCAACCGTGTCAAACGGCCACGAGCAAGAGGTGCGAGAAAGGCAGGCGAGGCTTGACCCACCTTGGCCACGAAGCGAAGGGTGTTGCCTGTGGTTTCGATCATGGGCTCAACACCCTGAACAAGAGGCGTGGCGGCGAGCAAAAGAAGACACCATGTGGCCATCATGGTCGTCATGCTGCCGGTTCCCGAGCCGTGTGTTCACCGACAAGCAGCCAGGTAGGCCACCAGGTAGCCAAGCAAGGCGCCAAAAGGGCCGCAAGGCTCCAACACAATTGCGTGCCACGCAGCACAAACGCTACAAGAAGGAGGCAACAAATGACAGGAGAAAAGGGGCGAGGATAAAAGATACCGGGTGAGCCCGTGCAGTGTGTGCAGGCTTCTGCCGCTCTGCTTCCGCGGGCGGCGACATCGCGACAGAAGGACGCGCTTGCGTTCATGTCATGCCCAACCAATCCCTCTATCTCCTTTTGCTCTACCCATATCCCCAACACCATTGTCACACGAGGCCGACGGCCCAACCCATTCATACCTCAAAAGCAGAAGCGGCAGTCTACGAGGAGGCCAGAGTTAGCAGGAGGAGGAGGAGGAGGAGGAGGAGGGCAGGGGTCGAGCCGGAAACTACACACTTGACTGGACGGATGCAGTATGCGCATAAGAGAGAGAGAGAGCGGGAGACGCCTACAATTGGATGGTAAGGTATGGTAAGGTGAAGGCGAGGCAGAGGGAGAGTGAGACGGAGTGGTAGGGGTAGAGATAGTGACAAGCCAGGTGCGAAGATAAGAGACGGAAACAAACTTAGGGGCAGGGACAGTGTAATAAACAAAGCAGAGACAGAGATAAGGAGAGAGACAAAACCCAAACAGAGAGAGAGAACAAAACAGCGGCTAAACCAGAGACAATAAAGAGCATGTGTGGGAGGAGTTCATACAATGTCATTTGTTGTTTGAGATTGTAAAACACCACACGCACCCCACACCTTTTAGAAACAAGATGTTGTGTTTAGATACGGACTGTTGGAAACGTCTGACAATTATTTTGTCAGCTTGTTCTGGAGAGAGAGAGAGAGAGATGTTGCGCAGTTTCCTTGCCTCTCTTTGCCTTGAGACATCAACAACGAGATCAGTGAAGGACAGTGAGCTTGGTGCAGGGAGATCCGAGACGGCACGGCAAGGCCACTGGACGAGATGACGGCTGTTGCAGCAGCGCGACGCTTGGCGGTGCTTCAGGTTAGAGCCAATAGGGCCTTGCTAGGATTGGTCAACAGCTGAGACTCTATGCGCTGGGCGTGCGAGCGTTGCAGCTGCCACTTATTTGGTTTGACGTCCTTGCCGCGGACGTCTGCACATAGCGCCACCTGGCACCCTGCCAACCGCTGCTGGGCCGGCGCCTGGCCTCATCGTATGTCTTGCAAAGCCTCTTTGTACCTCTGGGCAATTTGCCAAGACACGCACCTGTGGATGTGGCTGCCAGCCTATGAATTCACTTCATTTGACGCATCACCCCTCCCCAGCAGAAACTCGGATGGCTTGGACGCCTACATGCAAGGCGGTTGGGCCCAGAAGCGCATCATGAAGGTATGAAAATGAAGCATTCCCGCGCCCTTGATCCTCTCTGCCTCTTGTCCGAGACCGGTTGGGGACGCAGTTAAACATGCAACCATCTCACCAGGCGCTGAGGGCTCCAATCAGGTTGACCCCGAGGACGTGCTCCCTGAACGCACTCTAAAGGGGCAAACGCTGGTACGTTTGGCTTGGCATCGAACAGTCACTTGCCCCATCAGCAGCTACAGTGGTGCCGCTGTACTCATCCTAATACATGTTATGCCGTTTAGTTTATCACGGGCGCCAGCCGAGGCATCGGCCTGGCCATTGGCAAGCGCGCGGCGCAAGATGGGGCGAATGTGGCAAGTACACAGTCCTATGATCGAGACGTCACATTTCGAAGCACTGCTGACATGAAGGCGTCATGATAGGTCGTGGTAGCAAAGACCGCCGAGCCCCATCCGAAGCTTCCAGGCACCGTCTTCACGGGTACGTGCATCGGCGTTCACAAAGGTACTCTGGTTTTGTTGTGGTCATTCTCAATCCTGATTTGTTTTTGTTTTATTTTGTTTTTGCCGCCACACAGCTGCCAAGGAAATTGAAGAGGCTGGTGGAAAGGCACTCCCCATTGTCTGTGATATTCGTGACTACGAACAAGTGGAGGCGGCGGTGGCGCGGGCCGTTGAGCACTTTGGTGGCATTGATATTCTTGTCAACAACGCCTCGGCCATCAACCTCACCGGTCAGTTTCGCCGACGTGCATGCCTTGCTTCATTAGCCACACCGGTCTTCAAAAAAAGGCCCACGCGCCCGCCGCTCATTTTCATTGCTTGTTGTTACTGCTGTGGTGGTGCTGGCGGTGGCGGTTGATGTTGTTGTCTTCACTTTCTGGCTTGAACCGGGGCATAGATACCGAGACAGTGGACATGAAGCGCTACGACCTCATGCACAGCATCAATGCTCGTGGCACGTTTGCTTGCACCAAAGCCTGTTTACCTCACCTCAAAAAGGTAAAAGCGCACATGTTTTCCAGACCTAATATCCAGCTGCCCCGTGCATCCTGAGCTTGCACCTGACTGGGTCTGCTCAACCTTACACCTACTAATTCCCCACTTGCAGGGCAAGAATCCACACGTGCTGACGTTGTCCCCACCATTGGATCAACTGCAAGCCAAATGGTAAGCAAGTCGCACTGAGTGTGCGTGCGCGAGCATGTTGAAGGCGGCCTGCTGGCCTGGATGGCTCTGCAATAACAACATTAATATTTTTTTCATTCCATCGCGTGGCTCAACTTGCAGGTTTAAACACCACGTGGCTTATTCGGCTGCCAAGTATGGCATGTCAATGTATGTGATGGGCCACAGTGGTACGTATGCCTGCTGCGCCTCGACTATGGGTGCCAATCCCAATGTTCTTTTGCAATAGTTGTTGTTTTGCTGTCACTGACCAGTTGTCGTGTTGCCGTAGCTGAGTTTCGCAAGTTTGGCATTGCCGTCAATGCTCTCTGGCCCCGGTGAGTGTCTGCTTCTTTGACCAGCGCCAGCTCTCAGCCTTGCAGTTTGGACACTTGATCCTCGTGTGACAGGCAAATCACCTCACATGTTTGTTCAACTCTTTGACCAGCACCACAATCGCCACAGCAGCTGTCAAGAACGTTCTGGGTGGAAGCGAGATGATCTCACGGTACGCCTCTTCAAAACTTGCAACGCTAGCCACTTCTTTTGACCAAACGTCGTATTTACGTGGGCACGCGTACACTCCGCATGCAGCTCGCGCACTCCTGAGATCATGGCCGATGCAGCACACGCCATCCTGACGCGCAAGGCCCACGTAACGGGAAACTTTTTCGTCGATGATGAAGTGCTGATTTCGGAGGTGAGCACGGCCATTGCAATATGACATCCTTTTCGCATCAAATTTTTGGACACTTATTTCGTGGCGGCTTTGTTGCAGGGCACCACAGAGCTTAGCAAGTACAATGTGGATCCAAAGGCTGCCCAGCACGAGCTTACACCTGATTTCTTTGTGTAATCAGCACGGGCATCGGTGTACACCCAACTCGGTCACTTGCTCACCGTTCAATTACCAAAAAAAAAATGATTGCGCTCCACGCTTAAAACTGGACAGTCCCCATGCCTCCACATGAAGCAGGCCCAGTTGCGGTGCCTTTCAAAAAGCACTGTAGCCACCCTGCACCAATGGGTACGACAGAATCTTGAGCCAAGATGCTTGCAACCAATTGAGAGCAGTCGAAGAGACATACCCAAGGTGCTTGAGATGTCGAGCGAGGTACATGCCGCCGAGTTGTGAAGTTGGTGGAGCTAGTTGGCTGGCGCTGCACAGAGGGCGGCCAAGGCAGTCAAGGCAATGGTAAGACGTCATTAGCGAATGGCAAGTTGCTGGCTTTGGCGGCGCGCTCTACACACCGCCTGCAGCCAGGACTCTCGCGGCTGCGATCCCAGCGAAGATGGCTACAGAAAAGCACCCAGAGTATGAGACGACATCCGCTGAGCAGACAAGATATACGCTGGTGTGTGGATTGATGGAATCAAAACCCTTGGATCAAGCTCACCTGAGTGACGGGATCATCAAACAGCGAGCTGCTGTTGCGCATGTTATGGGTGCGCAGCGAGCTGGTGGTCAGTGGAACCAAACATGTGGGTGAGTAAATTCCGTGATCCTCACCCAGGATCCCTCAGCCCAAGAACGTACTGGCGCGAGGGAGGTGCTGCAGTCGAGGTGGCCGCAGAAGCACTGGAGGTGCGCGTAGAAACGGGCTTGGAGGCAGGGGCGCGAGACGACACTTGTGTGGCAGGCCGAGGGTGCAGCGAGGATGGGCGCGAGGACCCCAGGTTGGTGACTGACAAAGGGCGTGCCGATGCCGGGGCAGAGGGCACCGGCGTCCGGTACGAGGTCAAAGCGGACTCGCGTGCAGAAGCCTGGCGTGATGCAGGGCCTGCGGGACGGCGCGAGCTGGGTGCATCGGCGATGCCAAGGGCACCCAATGCATCCAGGGGCAAATCATCTTTTGGACTTGATCGACCGCGCGAGGAAGCTGGCTCAAAGTCCACATTATCAAGATCCTGTGAAAGAGACGAGGTGCGTGAAGCAATCAAGCAGCCCGTGTTTAGCACAGCCGCCCAGATCCAAGTGTATTGGAACTCGCAACGTTTGGCACTGCCGTTGCTTGCTCCTGACCCACGAATGAAGCTCTGCCTTCTTGGGAACTGACGTGAAAGAGTTGTTCCCGATACGAGGAAGGCGTGGGCAAGGTTTTGCCATCAATCGGCAAGTGGATCATGCGCGTGCTGGCCAAGCGAGACCTGATGAAATCCGCCCGCCATCAAAACACGCTAGGTCAAGCAAAGAACGAAAGCTAGTCAGATGGGGGTCATTGCAACCTACACTTGGCCTGCAAAGTCAGCCAGGTATTCGTGTTCGAGCCCAGCTTGCATGGACAGACGTTGCGTAGGATTAAAGTGCAACAAGTCGGTCAAAAGCGCCAGCTCCTCAGGCGTCGCCTTCAAGCACAGCACGACCCCCGCACAGCCCAGAGCCAAGAGAGTCAACCATGAATTTGGGATTCTAACCGTCGCAACCCCTGTCCTCACACGTGCGTGCATGGCGCATACCCTCGAACAAAGCACAGAAAGCGGTGAAATGCCACAGCGCTTGATAGAGTCGCACGCAGATTGAGCATATGGTGCTGCGAGAGCCGCCACGTCGCTTCGGGAAGGGCGGCCAAGCGTCTATGAGCCCGCAGTCAAGAAGCATTTGGTGAGAAGTAATCACAATTACAAAGAGACCTTTGGCGTGGGTCGCGGGCAATGTCGACGGCAAGGGCGCAGCAACGCAACACAAGTTCAACGCCAACCTGAATGATCAGGTCGAGCTGGTGCAACGAACTGGTGCCCATGAAAAGAGCTTTTCCTACAATGTGAGTCAACGGTGCCAAATAGAGGTGTAAGGTTCCGCAACAAGCCTGGATGGACCCACATCAGCGCCACGCACGTCGAATCATTTGACCAAAGATGCAGCCGAGAGACCACGAATCAACGGCATATGTATATCTAGATTCAAGAACAAAAGTATGAGAGGGTGTTTGCCCTTTTGATGGGCGATCAAAACAACATCAAAGAAAACGGCTGGCTCTTACTTGGCGCTGCCCAGCAGCATTTCTGGTGCACGAAACCATCGCTGCGTCCACAAACAAAGCATCACTTGGGCCTAAGCGTCCGTCCCAAGGGCAAAGATTTCATGTGCGCCGTTCACCATCTGGACGTACCGTTGCCACATATTCCGTCAGCTGCGGATCGCTGGAGGCCCCGTCCTATCAATCGCCTCGTGTGTCATCAGGGAGTGGTAAGACATGATGGACTCAACCCTCATGAAGCAGGCATTTTCAAGAAAGAATTTGCCAGAGGGCGCATCAATAGCATGACCAGCTACACACGTCAAGGCCACCTTCAACGCTTCGGCAGAGGCCAAAGTCTGCAATCTGTGCAAAAAAGCAAATCAAGTCATGTGAGTGCAAGGGCGAGCCAGATGGAGCCAAGTGGCTGAGGGGCCACTTGGCAGACGAGCTAATCTGCCCCGCATTTCCTTCCTCAGGCGTTTGAGGCAAACAACACAAGATGGCCCGTCCTCCATACAATCAGCCGCTTGATTGCTAGGCTTCAAAACAAAAGCATGGTGCCAGCACAGAACCGCATGCTTGCCTGTGCGTCACAACTCTCGTTGAGAAGAATGTTGTCAGGCTTCAGGTCACGATGAATGATGCCGCCAGAATGGAGGTAGCAAAGTCCCTAAAGGCAAAAATAAAACAAACGTGATTGAAAGACAGTGCGGATCGAGGCAAACAGAGACCTTGACTAGCTGTACCCCCGGCCCCTGCCTGGACTTGACGTACAGCGAAAACTTGAGCCATGATGTACTTGCGGTGTGAGGTCGTCAAGATGCCCGACTCGATGGCCTTGCCCAGATCCAGATCTGCAAGGAAAAGTCAGGGGCCCACGCACAAATGTTGATGGCCCAGGGTCATTGATGGTTCAAGGCGAATGTGGACAACAGTTCATGGGCAAGCTGGGTGACACTTGATCCCGTACCCATGTGATCAAAGACCAAGTAGATGTCACGATCCTGATCTGCTCGCACCACGTTCAGCAAGGTAATGATGTTGGGATGGTTGTGAAAGAGCTAAGACAAGGAACAGGAAGACGAGGGAGGAGAAAAAGACTTGGTGAGACATGGGGTTGCTGGCGACGGCAGCAGGTTGCCGTTGGTCATGGCTGGCAACATACCTTCAGGTACATGATTTCACGGTACGTCCGCTGTGAATCTGTGACGTTGCGGAAAGCATCGAATAGCTTCTTGATGGCCACGACCTATCCAAAGCAGACAGGGCGCACACCCAGGGCACCAAAGGCTCGAGATGATGCGATGCGTGACATGAAGACTGTGGGGAAACGTTGTGAACAGCGCAGGCGCGTGGGCGTGCGCCAGTCCCACCTGTGATGTGCGCTTGTCTTGTGCTCGCCACACAATACCGTAAGCCTAGTGCAACACGCACGCACACAACAATGTGAGGTGATCATAATCGCGCGAGCGAGCTGGCGTGAGGCTGCTGGAGCGCCAGGTCATGCGCTAGTGACGTACGCCCTTGCCCAAACGAGCCTGCATGGTATACAGGTCTCGAATGGACTCGTCCACCCGGCCTTCGGGATCCATCCTGCACGACGAACCCAGCCACCGACTTTCCCTACACCCAACCCCGGTTCCATGCACCACAACCCCCGCTCTACCATCAGCCCACCCAACAGAACACCTGCCGCTCGCCCTCCCGCGATTCACCCGTCCAAACGTCCCACCGCCTCTCTCTCTCTCTCTCTCTCTCTCTCTCTCTCTCTCTCTCTCCCTCTCTCTCTCTGTTTGGTCGATAAGAAAATTTTGATCGGATTTCAAAATTTAATTTGCGTGTGTGTGTGTGTGTGTGTGTGTGTGTGTGTGTGTGTGTGTGTGTGTGTGTGTGTGTGTGTGTGTGTGTGTGTGTGTGTGTGTGTGTGTGTGTGTGTGTGTGTGTGTGTGTGTGTGTGTGTGTGTGTGTGTGTGTTTCGTTTGGGCGCTTGGAGCTGTTGCCGGAACTGGAGCGTTGAACGAACAAGATCTGAGGATTGGGGAGCTGAGACCAGAGGGATGGAGGTGAGAGGGTTGTTGTGGCATGGCGTGAGACGAAGATGGTCGCTGACGTTGGTTTTGAGTGGCTTGATGGAACGCGGCTTGCTCATGGGCTGCGCGTTTGGAAATGGGATTTTAGGACCTCGCCGAGGTCAATCGACAGATGAGTCCTAGTCAGTGGTCACCCCGCGGCACGCCAGACCAGGTCATTCAGCTGCACTGCCAGCGACTCCGAGAGCGTAAGAATGTTTGATGTTTGCAGAGTGGCAGGACTCGCGCACATCAATGTGCTAACATATGCTGGCCTGCCGCGCCCTTCCGTCAATCACAGAAAGTGAGGCCGCCCAAAGGGCACAGATCTACTATGAACTACCCAAGGACAATGAAGCCGACCCCGTGGTTGGAGTGGTGGCCGAGGCAAAGCTGGGTTCTGATTTTGCAGGTCGGTGTGCCATGTCTCACTGCCAGGCTCAGTCAGAGATACAGGCTAGTATCTCGCCCTCAACTCGTGGCGTGACATCGAGAGGATCCAGGTCGCATCGTGTATTACATCCACGGAGGCATGTGGCAAGCATTGGCGCTTGCTGATTCTCTCTTTGCGGCCAACCGTTTCGTCTCGGACAACTGCGCTTGGGCCGCTGTCGAGTACACCATTGCCCCAGCAGGTAGTCGTTTTTTGGTGGCATCATGCCATGGCTAGTGGCTTCCGCATCTCTCAATGCTGCAGACCTCGCCACCACACTTTGTCATTAGGGACCCTGACACAGATGGTTGAGGAGTGTCGACGTGGGCTCGAGCGCCTGCACGCAACATACCCCTTGGCCCAGCTGGTCATTGCCGGGCACTCAGCCGGCGGTCACTTGGCTGTACGTTGCCTGGCGCTTGTATTTCGTGCTTGTTTAAAGTGTTGGCATCTCACCGTGCGCCGTGCATCGTCGCCAGATCATGATGCAATGGCTGGACCTTCCATCATCCCTACGCGCCGCCATCTCAGGTACATTGTGACGTGCCCGGCACCACTTTTGACGTACAGACAACACTCTTCCATCAAGGTTCATCAAGACTTGACAATCTATAGCAGGGGGTTGTCTGTGTTGTTCTTCGCCACAACTGACCACTTCTGCTTTGGCAGGCGTCTTTGCTGGCTCTCCCCTCCTAGATCTCACCCCCGTGCAAGCTAGCTATGCAAATGAGGCCCTTCAGCTGAGCGATTCTGAGGTTGCCCAATACAGCCCGCTGCTTCGCCTTGCTGCCGGCCAGCAGCCACTGTTTTCTCCGCCCCAGGTGTGGCCTCCCACTTGATCCATGCAACTGAATTGGCAGATGAACCAATCTCACTTGTAACGTGTGGTGTGCAGCTTATCGTCGTGATTGGAGAACATGAGCCAGATGAATTTCGTCGTCATGGTCGCGAATACACTGAAAAATATCAAGCCGGCAACATGGGTTAGCTGCCCTGATTGGCTCGCACAGCTCCATCATTCAACTGCCCTGTCAAGGTTTCCCGCACTTATCAATTGCTCTGCCGGCTTTTTGCAACCACAGGGCCCGTGGCTCTCCATGACTTGCAAGGTGAAGACCACTTTACAGTCATTGAGAACCTGGCCGCAGACTCGGCGAGCCACCGAATTCTTGCCGAGATGCTTCAGGTTTGAACTTTTAAACCACTTCTGGAGCTGGCTCTGCTTGAAGCTCAAAGTTCCGCAGGCACACGCCAACAGCCATGTCACCGTTGAGCTGGCCAAGTGCCACGTGTCCAAAAGTCGCCAGTTGCAGCAAGTGACCAAAAGCTTTCGCCACCATTTGCTGCGCGTCCAGACCCGCGGACGCGTGAGCGGCCCGTGCCCAACGCGACGTGTGTGCAGAATCCCAAGGGGTGGTTGACCGCTGTGGGCGAACGAGCACACAGAGCGAGAACAGACCTTGGTTGGCGAAGGGATAACTTGGTGCAGTGGTTGAAGCGTGGTGGTCAGTTCTGGGCCAGCTTGCACCAACAAGAAACTATGACAGTACACGAAGGAGGCAAGCAGATCATCATCCATCGGCGAATGCGTTGGAACGAGTAAAAACAGCTGCAGAGCCAATGGTCATGTGCTGCTGATGTGACGCACCCAAAAAAATCGATGGCATCTCGAGAAAGCCCTTCTGGCACAGATTTGATGCTATTCACTGAAGCTGCCGCACAATATGACGCATTGCTCAGGGAAGATGGCTAACAGCACATGTTCAGCAACGGCTTGATTCAGGTCATGGACACAGACTCACCTTCTGACAGTGGTCGAATGCCACTGACCTCTGAGAGGGGTGATGCATTTATCGATGAAACACTCGTCTGATTTCTAACCAGGGAGCACGTCATGAGAGGTCAGTTTGCGCAATCCAGTACAGAGCGAATGTACAAAGTTCGTTCAATTGGCACGAACCCGGTCGGAGGAAAAGGCTCCTCCTCCAACTGCAAGGCCTGCAGCGCCCGCGCTATTCAGCAGGCATGGTGAGGAAATCGTGCTGTTGCTGCGTGAAACCTGGAACGTTTCTTTCCCGCTTCAACGCACCCGTATATGAAGGACTCGACCAAGGCGGGAGTTGTGTTTCGGGTGACTGCAGCAAGAGCGCGGGAGGTGAAGACATCACTCCACTTGAAGATGGGCCCCCGTGGCTGTTGGTAAGCGGGCAGACGCCGGCACGCAACACCATGAGCGAGGCAGTGAGATACATGCTCTGTCGAGGATAAAAAAAAGGCGAAGGCGTGCAACCAACCTTGAGGCCTGGTAGCGCCCCTGCTCAGGAGTAGGAATATATGGCACCTCACTGTCTGCATCATCATCACTTGGGATGCCGCCCACGTCACTGCTGCCGTCGTCTGAGTTCATGACTGGCAGGAAACGAGGCAAAAAGTCGAGAATTGGAGGCCTTGGTTTACGCTTCTGCATGAATTGCACCAGTGAAGCCTTGCTTTTCTTGAGAAGGGCCCGTAATTGAGGCATCTCCCCCAGCACTATGGCACGGCAAAATTTGGTGTTATGCGCTAACTATAGGTCATTGGCATTTGTGGCAGCCGTAGTCACACGCACCTGTATGTGGCACTGCACAGCCTGCTCGCAGAGTCCATTTGGCCGCATGGCTTGGGTGCTGTGATTAGAATCAAGCAAGTCCACATCATTCACATGATGCGGCGATCAATATTTACTTGCCCTTGTCACTTCAAGACATGCCTTACCATTGAACGAAACGATGGTGCTTGAGGCACCGATGGCGGATGACTTGCATCAGCGACACGATCACGCAGCTCGCCCTTGGGTATCTGCAGCCGTAGATCGCGGCGAGGGTGCCGTCGTTCAGCGACTTTGGTAATTGGGGGCAAGGGAGGCAAGTCGTCAATCAGGGGAAGTTGAGGTAGTGGTGTGACAGGCGATTGCAGGTCATTCCTGGTCTGTGCTGATGGCGTGTGCTTGCTGGGTGTTGTATCCATTGGTGGTGAAATCTGTCACGTGGAGAGGCGAAAAAAGATATCATTCCGACGAGTTAGCGACCAAGAAGTTAGATGAATGCTTTGAAGATGTTTTGCAACCACTCTTCCATATACTGTGGTGTGGGGACGGGGATGGAGGGCGGGGGGGGGGGGCTCATGAAAAGAGGTTGGCTGTTTAGGGGAGGTAGGTGCAGTTGAAGCAAGAACACCTTGATTTTGTCGGTCATGACTGGCTCTCCAATGCCGGGCAGGGGAGATTGCATGACTGCTGCCAATGCAAGGAATTCCAGCATCAACATGAGCAAAATGCTGAGACTGCCTTGCTGACAATAGCAAAAACTCAACGCACGCGAGGGAAGCCTCATATCACAATCTTCTGGCAAGCCTGGCTCAGACGAGTTGTCGAGAGGGCTGAATCCAAAGTCTGCGTCGTCATCGTCAGCGTCGTCGTAGAGTTGATCATTGGGTTGCGGCAGAATGGCTCGAACCACGGTGGTCCGCTCCAAGGCCTGACTCAATTGCCCTTGTACGAGCTCATCGGCAGTGTCAGGCATGGCTAAGAAAAATACAACCAGGCGATCAAGGGAAGTCAAGCTGCGATGAGCCGTGTGTAACCAGGCAGATATGTTAATCTCGCCGCCCCCTCGCCACCTTGCTAGCACACTGCGTCCTCCCCTCCCTCATTTGTAAGTTGACCTTGTGCCAGGATGGTGGCCTCGCGGCGACTCGTGGTGAACATGGAGTCGTGACTGCCATCCGGAGAAGGAGGTCGGGCAAGCGGCGAGCTCTCTGTAGATAGCTGTAGATCATGTGGGTGGGTTGCCTAGACCGACGCACAAATAGTTGTGTCACTTTAGGCGCAGCAACAGAATGTGGGCTCGGCGCACACGTGACATACGGTGTACAACTCGTCCGAGAGTGGAATAGTCGGCCAATGACTCAGATTTTCCTACAGCAAGTCGCATCTCCTTCAATCAACAACTCAACGCCAAGTTTCCCCGCAGGCGTACTTGAGGCAGGCGGATCACAAACTTACAAAAAACACGAGATTGTCATTGACTAGGCCTACGGTGTGATAGGCCAGCTCGGGCTAGAGTGTGTGAGGGCGATGTGCAAACGATGCAACAAAAAATAATAAGAAAATTTGGGGGCACTTTTAACCAGGCACCAGAGGACACGATGAAGATGGGCGGCTGCAGCAGATCGAACCGGTGCTCTGAGTTTGAGAGATTCCTGAGTCAAGCTCAAGGGGTCCTGAGCCAAATGATCGCGCACCGCCAGGGTGATGCTTTCGGGACTAAAAGTACAAAGAGCAGGCGCCAGCACCAGGTCAGAATGAGGTGAGGCTCAACCACTACTAACCGTGACCAGCCTACCGGGCTTGAAAGGATGGCGCTGCGACGTTGAAGCGTAAGGCGCATTGAGCTTGCAAGGCCAACAGGTCGGCTAGAAAGCCAGACCAGCCAATGGATTCGCAGCAAAGCAGTAGGGCGTGAGCCAGCTGAGCGACACGCTTGTACCAGAGGCAGGGAGGTCACCAACAACATGTCGGGCATCAAGCAGCGTCTTTGCATGACTAGCACGCCTTACACAGTAGCCGATCGGCCTTGTACAGATGTATGAGGATCAGACCATACATAAGCACGGCATCGCGACGCAGCAGCGCACCCTCATCTGCCACCACGGCCAGGCAGATATCAGCGACCTTGACCTTGAGCAGCAGGCGCTTGTTTGTCTTGGCCAGACCACTAATGTCCCGCGTCGTTGTGAGACCCAACCATTCCAAGATGTGCAAGATTAAGACCGAGCATGCAGAAAGCCGGTGTTTGCAATTTTTCAAGGCACGGCCCACCAGTCGCACGTACCTGATGCCCACCATCCAAGCCAGAGCCACGGTACCAGTGGTAGCCTGGCCGCCATCACCGCCGAAGATGGCTGGTGGTGATGATCGAGGTGCCGCAAAACTCGATGGGGCTGGTAGGGGCGATGGCGCCCACTGCATTCTGCTCATGGCGATAGTTCTTGCAACTTGAGAACTGAAAGAGGAAATGCCCAGACCCGACTCGACTCCCCCAGCCATAACGGCCATGGCACATGCCAGCGGGACGCGCAATGCTCTTCTTTTCCCGCCATTTTCTGCCAGCATGCACCAGTCACGCCGGAGAGCCAGCCCCCTGACGTACGGTGGCGACAGAAGATGAATGCTATTGCATTTACATTCGCCACACCCGCCAAAAAAGTGCCTGACACTGCGATGTTTTCCCGCCAAAAACAAGTTTGTCTGACAACTGAATTTCCCATCATCACACAACGTGTGCGTTCAGTTGAACCAAGTGTCTAAGAATTCAATGTGAACTTTCGATTTCTCTGTCATCATCGCTCATCATGAAATAAAACACAAACTCGAAAAGAAAAAAACAAAAGGGACCCGCCGGCGGGCGACAGCAAACCTTGGGTGGGAGCTACTCTGCTGGCCACAACGATGGGCCGGCTTGCTCTACTTTAGGGTGCAATTTCGCATTGCTGGCCGGCGCAGGCCGGAGCCATGTGAAAGGCTGTATCGTCCTCGTCCTCAACGACCTGCGAGAAGTCGAGGCTCTTGACTTGCGGCAAGAGCCGCTCAAAGGTCGCTTGATCGCACTCTTCAAATGGCGCTTGCACATAAGTATGGTCGTCAAACGGGAGGACACACAGGCCATTGTAGGCGCCGCGATTCTCCCACATCCAGTTGCCCACGGCCTCCCACTCGTGCGGCTTGACTGAGACGGTGGTGGAGACGTTATTGGTGTTGGCGCCCCAGGCGTGACCGGGAAGGATCCAGTGTTGGTGAAGCTTTTGCACACGGTGCAAGAGGTCGAGGGCTGACTCGGAGCGAAGAAGGGCATTGCTGGGCGCCTTTTGAGGAAAGGCAATGACGGCGGTAGTTTCGGGCGCCATTTGATCGTCTTCCAGCAGGCCGGGGTTGGTGGCCTGGAGATAGTAGTATATGGCCTCGGATTTGTTGACTCGAACGCGACGCAGATAATAGGGACTATGCCACGCGTGCACGCCGCTTGAGGTGCCCAGGACAAGGCTCGTGGTTCCTGCCGGTTTGACCGTGGTGACGCGAGCTGCCGACTGGATGCCAATCTGTGCAGCTGCACGTTGATTGGCAGCGACAGCCGTACGGGCGGCGCGGGCCAGATCTTTGTTCAAAACTGTCCCACTGGCAATGCCTGTCAAACATCCCTTTGGGTGAGGCACACGTGACAAGATCGGGGCCCAGGGGAGCGGTCGCGGGGGGAGGCAAGAACATACCAGTCATGCTGACGCCAACCAGGGCGGCGGCTTCGGTCACGGCACGCCACTGCGGGCGCAAAAAGTGAAAATCGGTGGAGGAGGCTTGTAAGGTACCAATAAAGGCAGCCGTGTGCGCCAACTCGTCCAGGTCGGCCTGAGTGCGAACGATGCTGGCGTTGATCTCCGTCAAGTTGCAAAACTGAAAGGGCTCGAGTGCAATCTCGCAGCAGGGGTTGGTACCCCAGTCACGGTCATGGGTAAAGTATACGCCAGGCTCGCCGCTTCCTGAAGCGCGAATTTGCGTCCAGAGATCGGCAAACTCGCCGTGGCTCAGGCGTTCGCGTTCCAGGACGACGGAGTTGTTGGCCATGGCGCGCTGGCTATTGGATTCCCACCAGGACCCACTCTTGGCGCTCAGCATGGCCTCATCGCCCGGGGAGAAGAGACTAATGAGAGCGGAGCGGCGAATGCCCCCTGAGGCCACGGCGGTGGCGGCGTGGCACATGATGTCGTGGGCGTCGATAGAGGCGAGGGGCTGGCCGTCCGAGAGCGAGGTCAAACGTTGCTCGATAGCGACAAAGGCTGAGCGCAGGACATCGGGGCCAGGGGCCCGACCACCAGCAGTGCGGAGGGGACTACCTTTGGGGCGGATTTGGGAGTAGTCGAGGCGGACCGAGGGTTGGCGCTGACCCGACGCGGGCAGATAGGTTTCCAGAAGAGTACGTAGGCCCTCGGCCCAGCCTTCAATTGAGTCAGGGATGACAAAGGTGCGATGGGCATCAGTGCGGGGGCGCAAGAGACGAGGAAGCTGAGCGATGTGATGTGCTTGCACGCTATAGCCGGCACCGCAGCCGCTGAGAAGGAGGAACATTAGTTCACCAAAGGTGTCCACGTGGTTGAGGGGCGCAAAGCTGCAATTGAACATGCGGGTGTTGTTTGTTTCCAGGGCCGGACCGGCAAACTGGAGGGACCGCATCGAGGGCAGGACGCGCTTGGCATAGACGTGTTGGTAGGCGCGGCGGATGTCGTCACGCAGCTCCGGAAAGCGCTCCGTGTGCAGCGCCTCGTTGCGAGCCACCAGCTCATGCCACGTTTCACGACGCCGAAGCTCTGGCACATAGCGGGCATATTTGGCATGGACCGTCAGGTCGGAAAGGAGCTCGGAGGGATTCGTGGTCGCGGTGGCCGCGGTGGCGAGTCGACGCGTGGCGCGATACATTTCGCAGGATCAACTGTGGCCAAACCGAACCGTGTGCTGAAGCTGAAGCCGCAGTTGCACAGAAAGAAGGAAATGTGAGGGATAACAAAATGAACTTGGGCAAAGCCGGCTCGGCACACAACTCGTGGGCCGAAACGGCTTGCTGCGTGAATCGTGCGTTCCCAGTCCCACCAGCGACCGTTACGGGAAGAGCAAGAGGTCGCGTGATAAGGAGGTATATAAGAAGAAAAGTGCAAACCACCAACGATGTTGCCCCATGTACCGAGAGAAAGGAGAAAGCGGTATACTCGAAGAGCAGAAGTCCCAGAACACACACACTCCCAGAGCACACACACACACACACGAATGCCCGCGTGCTGGTTTTGGCGCTGAAGGTGGCAGCGCGCAGCTAGGGAGGCGCGCTCACAAAGTGGGACAGTCAATGATACGAATCACCATCAGGGTGGGCAAGGACAACCCCGCCTGATTATGCCAACTGCATACAGAAAACAAATGCACCCCAAGGGCCGCAAAGGACTTGGGCGCGTCGACTGACAGCTGGCACACAGAGAGAGAGGAAAAATGAGCGCGCGCGGGAAACAGGGATTGCGCCCCTTTTTCAACAGTCATGATAATTCATCTGACATTTCAAATCAGAGACATGTCTCAACATGTCGAGACGCACGCGGCTGCAATGTCAGCTTTCTCGGTTTTTGATTAGTATTTTACTTCTCTGGCCTGGTTATTTTTGAAGGAATAGGAATCCGTCCAAAAATACCCTTAGACCAATACAGAAACAACCCTGCTCCACTGTTTTCTTCCACTGCTGAACAGCACAGCACGCCTACAAACAAGTGTAACAACATGCACACATCACGCCATGCACTACTTGCTTGTGCCAACGCGCTCAGCACACATGCGCTTGACGTGAACGTGGAATCTTGTTGTTGTGGGGGTCGTCTGTCCTGCCTTCGAATATGCAGTAACATGATATGACGCGGCAACATCTTCCTTGCCTTAAACCGTTACGCTCCATGCATTGCCGCCCCGATACTACAATAACTCTAAAGAATACAACACAAAGTCGACCTTGTGCAGATCTAGAGGTATCTGCCTGGGCTGTTTTGGCGGCGGGTTCAAAAGCACCATGCTGCACCACCAATGGCAACGGGCCCAACGTACGATGGCAACCAAGGCGGCGACAGAGCGTCTACCAACTGCCTCATCCACTCCCGCATGCGTACCCTGGAAAGCGAAGCGCCATGAACACCCAAAACACACACACACACTAAAAGAGAGAGAGAGAGAGAGAGAGAGAGAGAGAGAGAGAGAGAGAGAGAGAGAGAGGGAGAGAGAGAGAGAGAGAGAGAGAGAGAGAGAGAGAGAGAGAGAGAGAGAGAGAGAGAGAGAGAGAGAGAGAGAGAGAGAGAGAGAGAGAGAGAGAGAGAGAGAGAGCGTGTGTGTGTGTGTGTGTGTGTGTGGTCAAAGCCTTTTTTTTTTTCCCACCAGCTTGGTGAAGCACCTCACCTCATCACCTCACCCTAAACCCTCTTCCCTGGCCGCCCCTGCTGCGCGCCCCTCAACCGCCCACGCACATGGGTGTCATTACCTGGCTGTTCCCCGATCCCGGCCATCCTCCCACTGGTACGGACTCGCGCAAAGCACTTCACCTCTCTTGTTTGGCCTGCCAGTTTGGTCTCGTGCAGTGGTTTTGACCTCTTTTTGTATGTGGTTGTGCTCCTCCCCGCCCACCTCCTAGGCCGCCATGTCACGCTTTGAGGTGACACTCAGCCCAGAGTATGGTCTGGGCTGCAAGATTGCAGGTGGTGTTGATTCACCTTTGAGTGGCAAGGAAGATGCCGGCGTCTACTTGACCGAGGTTTTGCCTGGCGGTGCCGCCGAAAAGGCTGGTCTTCAAGTCGGGGACAAGATCCTGGCCGTGGGTTCCGACACGTTGGAAGGCGTACGTTTTTTATCGCTCTCCTGTTGACCGATACACCAAGGGCAGGCAAGGGCGACCAAGATCACCCTCCTGGTTCTGCTCCACATCATTTTCCACCTCGTTGTACTGGCCGCGTTCTGACCGAACATGCTGTTTTGTTTTCCTTTTTTTTTTTTTTTCTTTTTTCTTTTTTCTTTTTCTTTCTTCTTATTCTCTTTTTTCCCTTTTTTTTCATTCTTTTGGTGTTGTTGATTGATAGAAAACTCATGATCAAGCCTTCCAGGCCATTGATAAGGCCCTCAAGACCCCCACGCCCACCCTGACCATTCTTCGCCAAAGCACAAAGCCAGAGTCAGCCCCCGCCCCGGCGCTGACCAGCACAGATCTTGATGCCAACAAAGGCGAAGCTATTGAAATGAAGCCCCTTGGCGCCATCGCGGCCAGTGGTGGCTTTGGTTGCCGCCTGACCCAGCTCGTCGAGCTTATCAGCGAGCGCGGCACTAATGGTATCGAACGCTACGAACAAACTTTTGGTGGTGCCAAGGGCTTGGCTGATAAGGTCAAGTCGGACCTTGATCGTGGTATTTCTGGCACGGAAGAAGACCTTGCCAACCGCGCACATGTCTTTGGCGCCAACAAGACCCCTGATGTGGACGCCAAGACACTTCTTGAACTCATGTGGGAAGCCGCCCAAGACCCCATTCTGCTGGTCCTTGGTATCGCCGCCATCATCTCCCTCATCCTCGGCATTGAAGTCGAGGGCCATGCCGACACGGGCTGGATCGAGGGCTGTGCCATCCTTGTCTCCATCGCCGTCGTCGTCATGGTTTCTGCCATCAACGATCTTCAAAAGGAAAAGCAGTTTCGCGAACTCCTCGAAAAGCAGTCGTCAACCCAGATGGCAGACGTCATCCGCAACGGTCAACAGCAACGTGTCAACTACCAAGATCTCGTCGTCGGCGACATTGTCCTCGTCAACGCTGGTCTCATCCTACCCGCCGATGGCGTTCTCTTCCGCGCCAACAATATCAAATGTGACGAGTCGGCCCTCACCGGCGAATCACACGATATTGAGAAGACGCTCGAGGAGAACCCTTGGCTCCTGTCAGGCACGAGCGTCAAGCAGGGCTCGGGAGCAATGATCATCACCTGCGTCGGTCTTTTCTCGGAAGAAGGCATCATCCAGAAACTCATTACGGGTGTCGGCGAGGAAGAGTCGGAACGCCTTCTTGCCCTCGACAAGGAGGGCGTGTCGGAGGTGGAGCACCTGGTGGAGCGCATGGACCAACGCCAACAAGAAAACTTTGATAACCTTCCCGAGGATGAGCAAGAAAAGCTGGAGCGAGCCGAAGAGAAAAAATCCAAGAAGCGCGTAAGTTGTTGTATCATGTCCACACTTTGGATTTTGTTCTGTTCTCTTCGTCCTTTTCTACCGTATCCTCCTTCTTCAATGGGTGACTCCCCAAACAAGAAAGACCCCGTGTTTGTGTCAGGTGGTGTGGTCAAACAATACCGCATAGTACTTTTGGAAACACGGGCAGATTTTGTGGTCTGCTCAACATTGTGACGGCCGCTGGTGATCTACATGTCGCAGTCGTCGTTTTTGTGGACCGATAACCCTCTCACTGGTTCCGGCTCACATGTCTCGAACCACCCTAGGAATCCATTCTGCAAGCCAAGCTGGAACGCATGGCGCTGCAGATTGGCTACGGCGTTACTTTCATGTCCATCCTCACGCTCATCGTCCTCATTCTCTCCTTCTCCATTCAGCACTTTGGCGTTGACAACCACGACTACGAAGCCAGCGTCTGGTCCGAATACGTCGAGTTTGTCACCGTAGCCATTGTTGTCCTGGTGGTCGGTATCCCTGAAGGTCTGCCTTTGGCCGTTACCATCTCCCTGGCCTACTCTGTCAAGAAGATGATGAACGACAACAACCTCGTCCGCGTTCTCGCCTCGTGCGAGACCATGGGCAATGCCACCACCATCTGCTCTGATAAGACGGGTACTCTTACCACCAACCGCATGACTGTGGTCAAGTCGTGGATGGCCGGTCGCGTTTATGACGGCTCCACTGAGGTCAAGGGCCTGCCCCAGGATCTGCTGGCTCGTTTGCAGGCCGGTATCGCCCTCAACAGTGACCGCGCCTCCAACTACTACATTGACGAGGAGTCTGGGCTTCCTGTGCAAGAGAACAACAAGACCGAGTGCGCTTGCCTCAAGTTTGGCGATGACATTGCGGCTCGCAAGTACACTGAAATTCGCAAGGACAACCCCGTTGATAGCTACGTCAAGGTTTACCCCTTTGACTCGGCCACCAAGCGCATGGAGACCATTGTTCGCTTGCCCAATGGCAAGTACCGCATGTTTGTCAAGGGTGCCTCTGAGATTATCCTCAAGTATGCCACCGCCTACGACGCTGGAAACGAGAGCACGACCCCGCTGACTGCGGCTGACCGCGAGGGCCTCGAGCAAAACGTCATTATTCGCTTTGCCGAACAAGCCCTGCGTGTGATTTGCATCGCTTACAAGGATTTTGACGACGCGCAAGACTGGGACCAGGAAGAAGCTTTGCTCTCTGACCTGGTCATTTCCGCTTTTGTGGGTATCCAAGACCCCGTTCGCCCCGAAGTGCCCGATGCCGTTACCACTTGCCGCCGCGCCGGCGTTACCGTCCGCATGGTCACGGGTGATAACATGATCACAGCTCGTGCCATTGCCATCAACTGTGGCATCATCACTGAGGAGGAAGACGGCGACGGCGTCGTCATGGAGGGCCCTGACTTTCGTCGTCGCGTCGTCCGGGATGACGGCTCACTCGACTTTGACGAGATTAACCGCATTGCGCCCAAGCTCCGCGTCATGGGCCGCTGCTCTCCCTCGGACAAGTTCAACCTGGTCAAGGGTCTCATCAAGGCCGGTGAGGTGGTGGCCGTGACCGGTGACGGTACGAACGATGGTCCCGCGCTCTCGGAGGCTGATGTTGGCTTCTCCATGGGTATTGCCGGCACGGACGTGGCTCGCCAGGCCTCGGACATTGTTATCACTGATGACAACTTCAGCTCGATCGTCAAGGCCATCTCTTGGGGCCGCAATGTCTACGATGGTATCTCCAAGTTTCTGGTCTTCCAGCTCACGGTGAACGTTGTGGCCATTCTCGTGGCTTTCATCGGAGCCTGTGCCATCCGCGAATCACCCCTCCGTGCTGTGCAGCTGCTCTGGGTCAACCTGATTATGGATGTGTTTGCTGCCCTTGCCCTGGCCACGGAGCCTCCCACTCCCGAGCTCCTCGATCGCGCCCCTTACGGCCGCAACAAGCCTCTTTTGTCGCGCATCATGCTGCGCCAGATTTTTGGTCACTCCTTCTACCAGCTCGTTGTACTCCTCCTACTCATCTTCTATGGTGATAAGATGTTCAACATTCAGAGTGGCCGTCGCTATGACCTCACGGAGCAGCAAAAGGACGACCAGATTCTGACACAGCACTATTCGATGGTTTTCAACACCTTTGTGTGGATGCAGATCTTCAATGAGATCAACGCCCGCGTGGTGGACGACAATCTGAACATGCCAGGCATGCCACGTATCGTGGGCAACTTCTATCGTCCCTTCCGCGGTTTCTTCTCCAACCCCATTTTTGTGGGTGTCATTGTGGGTACCGCCGTGGTGCAGGTGCTAATTGTGGAATTTGGTGGTCGTGCCATTGAGACCGAGCCTCTTGATGCCGACATCTGGGGTGCCTGCATTGGTTTTGGCGCGGGCTCACTCGTGTGGAACGTCATTCTTCACTACATCTTCCCCTGGCAATGGATTCCCGAGTGGCTGGAACCGGGGGCATATGCTGATCTGAGCCCAGACCGTGCAGCGGAGATTGAAGAGGAGCAGCGAGGCACGACGCCCGAGCTGCCCCCTGCTGGCCTGGACGCGCCCACGACCCCCAAAACAGCGCGTGTTGAGCGCTCCAACACAGTGTCCTCACAGCGCGGGGCTGAGCCGGCCACGAGCACCAGCGTTCTCTGGTCGCGAGTCGGCCGTCGCGTTCGCCGTCATATCCGTGTGATTGGTGCGTTCCGCACGGCTGGCCAAATTGCGCGCTTGCGTCGCCGCACTGCCCAGCTGGCCACCCATGCCATTGGCGGACCCGAGGCCCGCGCGCCGCGTCGCGCCTCAGAACAGGCCAGCCTTGAACAAAAGGGTCATTCAGTGGCCACGCCAGCTAGCGCCATGTGGCGCACGGCCGTGGCGCGCGTCCGGTTCCAACTCCGCGTCGTCCGTGCCTTCAAGAATGGCGTAGTGAATGAGGTGGCCAACCCAGCCATCAATGCTGATCAGGCTGCCACCACCACCCTGACGCTGTCCTCGAATAGCCAGGCCCGTGGACGCGAGGACCCAGAGCAGCTGCCCCAACAAACACTTGATCTGCCTGCTCCCTTGGAAAAGTAAGTCGCCGCTATCAGCCATCCATCATCCCGTCATAAGATGAATGCTCATGTCATGCTTACGCGCCCCCGTGGATGGCTTGTGTGTGTAGGCGTGAGAGTGTTGTGTAATTTCCCGTGTTAGCCTTCAAAAGAACTTCTGGTCTGCACCAGCTTGCTTAAGCAAACGTTGTTCATTGTCGGTGTTCTTTTTCTTTGTTTTAAGTCAGTGGGTTGGTGGATGATTGATGGATCCACAAGGACAACAAGGGTGACAAGCATTGGGCTTGTTGTCTCAAAAAGTTTTCAAGGCTTTTTAGTAGCCTGCCCCAGCACGCGATGTACAGACCAACCACGAGTGGTATCTCTCTGGCCCGTTCGATCTCCTTAGGCACAGCGTCTAAACGCGCGCGCAAGTGTTTTTGTTTTCTCCTTTGCCAAATTTGTTTGTTGTACATTTCTTGATTTCTAAGCGAAGCGCGCTTTGACCTGACTGTGGGGGTTCCTTTGCTGGCTTTTGTCACGTGTTTTCGTGAGGTGAGCCCCCACCCCAGTTGTGTTTTTTTGAATGTGTGAATTGATTTCTTGTCGATGACGACCAACGTGAGCCTCACATGTCAATCAGATTTGCGAAGATGACTGTTACAAACCGTTTTTTCCCGCCAAAATTTTTTGATGAATTGTCGACAAAATCCAAATCAACGCATCAACAGTCACCAACGCAAGGATCAATCAATGATGATGAATGAGGCTGAACATGTTTAAGCTTGTTGTTGGTGCCCAAGCTGCAGACAACGGCCAAAGGAAAGCGTGTTGTGTGAATGCCACCCACCCTCGAAACATCACGGAGCGAAGAGGCCGGGAGTGGCATTTACCAGCTTGGCCACTGAATTCAAAACAACCCCGCCATCACCTTTTGAGGACTACGCTTTGCACACATCCATTCCTTGTCTGCTTGACTACCCGTGAACATGCCACCTATGAATGACACCGAAATGGCAGCAGCCGAGAACAACAACAACACCGCCAATATGGTTCAGAACGACAAGGTCATTGAAAAGCCGGATCCCGTGATCCAGGCGGAAGTTCCAGCCACAACCAACACCGAGACTGAGGCGAAGGCGGCTCCCGAGACCAAGGAGGAGTTGGCTCCCGAGACCAAGGAGGAGGCGGCCCCCGAGACCAAGGAGGAGGCGGCTCCCGAGACCGAGGAGGACACGGCTCCTGAGACCGAGGAGGAGGTGGCTCCCGAGACCAAGGAGGAGTTGGCTCCCGAGACCAAGGAGGAGGCGGCTCCCGAGACCAAGGAGGACGCGGCTGCCGAGACCAAGGAGGAGGCGGCTGCCGAGAACAAAGGAGACGCCACCAAGGCCGATCAGGCTAGCGACGCTAAGACCAGAGCAGATCCGGAGGACCCCACCCCTTCTCCCAAGAAAACAAAATGTGATGGAGCACAGGCAGATGATGAGACATCCGAGATGAACTGTGCCAACGAATGAGGCCGAGTCTTGTGTGCTTGAGCTCCGGCTGAAGCGGGTCGTTTGATTGTGCCATTTTCGTCAGCTGTGCCCACAGCCTGGCGTGTCACCAATCGATGACGCGCAAGAATGCATTTTGACCACCAATTTGAGATGGACCAATGTACACAAAGGGCAGCGTTGATGATCATGGTGTATAATTTAATGGCAAAGGCAATCACAAATCGATGAAAAATGAATCAAAGGATGAATTTCAAATGGCAGCAAACGAGCACAAGACACAGCGTGGCAATGTTCAGCCTGATCAGGGGACAATAAAATTTATACGGGCAGGTCACACGGCACGAGTACAATGGCAGATAGACTTTAGGGACAAATCGCTTATACTGGCGGTTGGCCGTCATCAAACTAAAGCGGCACGTACAACCATGAAAGACACGCGGCAGGCAGGCAAGCCACGTCCAACTGCCGCATTAGGGGAGAAATGGACAGTTTTTAATTGAACTTGTTTCTTGTCTAAGCCCGTCCTTGAGCCGAAGCCAGCGCTCGCTCAAGACGCAAGCGTTCTCGCTCAGCCTGCCGCTTCTCTTGCTCGAGCGCCTCCACCTTGGCTGCCAATGCAGCATTCTGTGCAAGGAAGAAGCAACCAAGTTGAAGAGAGTGAGCATGGCCAGCGAGCCGGTGGGAGCACACGGCAGAGCTGCGCCCACGAAAAAGACACAAGTTTGTACCTGAGGAGCGGCCAACGTTCGCTGGGCACCCATCTCCATGGTCAAGGCTGACAACCCGGGTGTTGCGGAGGCCTGGGCCCGAGCGGTCTGTTTTGCGTGCTGCACAGCAAATGCAAGTTAGGCACAAATCGCGCATCGCTGAACATGATTTTTCCAAAGGAGGCTCTGCCACCAGCAGCCACGCACCTCACGAAGACGGTCGTTCTCTTGTTGGGCCTTCTCCAGGAGGGAACGGCAGGTTCGCAGATCTCGCTCGAGATCGTTCAATTCGCGCTGCAAACAACGAGACCAGCAACGCACCAAAGCCTTTCTAATCAGTGGCGAATCCAACCCCACGGCGTGTGCTCGCACAAGCATAAGCTTACCTCGCGCTGTTCCAGCTGAGCTTCAAGGCGGCGCAGGTGGCTGTGCTCTGCTCTTGTCTTGTCCGCTAGATTGGCTTCTTGATCCGCCAGGTTCTGCTTTAAGGCCCGAGTTGTTTGACGTTGCTGGGCGGCCGTCTGCGCCTGCAAATCCTTCAGCTGGTTGTCCATGTCCTTCCGTTCGCGCGCCAACTCGGCTTCGTACAGATGATGTGCCGCTTGCACGCGCTGGCGAATCTCAACCTCGCGCTCACGCTCCATCTGTCAGTTAGTTTGCATTGCATGAAAAATTTGGTCAGTCAGGGGAACAACAGTTACGACAGGGTTGAACGGAGGGACGTCCGATTGAAAACGGGCAGGGGCAATTGCCCGGTGCCTACCTCGGCACGCAGCTGATTCAGCTCACTCTGACGCTGCTCCTGAATCTCCTCCTCCATCTGATGGCGAATAAGCTTCTTCTCGCGTCGAAGCTGATTCTCCATGCTTTCCAGCTGGCATCAGCGATGACGGGTGAGGCAAGTGTCACCACATCGACCGGGGGTTCAAATTAGACGCAAGGCGCCGCGTACCTGGCGAATCGTCGTCTGAAGAAAGTCGGTGATCTCATGTGCACAATCAAATAGCACGTCCACGGTCAGAGCTGGTGCATGCTGTGCCTCCTCCGATGCGGGAGGCTGGATGACCGTATCCTTGCCCAATTGATCCACGAGCGAGAGAATGGCATGCATGCCCTCCGTCAAGGACCCTTGAGTATGGTCCAGCAGGGCATCGCTGCGTGGCTGCACAGCTGTACGCATGTTGCTGTGCAAATGGCGCAAACGCTCCTTGAGCAACTGGTGGCTGCGGCGTGCCTGTGCATTCGCTGTTGCCGTGGACCTGCCAATGTGCACCAGCCAAGGTGTCAGAAATTACGCCATATGCCCACAAGCCCAGAACGTTATCCTCTTGGGCCGTCCCTGTGGCTGGCCAGACTGTTCCAACGGTATCGATTGCGGACATGGCTACGCACTCGTTGGATTGCTTGTCGGCCCGACGGGCCGCATCAAGCTCGCTGCGAAGCTGGGCGTTTTGTGCTTTGAGGGACTCTGTTTTCACGAGGGGGGCATCACAGATGGACGCCGATAAGAATGAGTAAAAGCATGCACTGCTGCTGGAACCCTTACCCCCAGTGCAAAAGAACAGACAGCCGTGATCATAGCGCCAAATGGCCTCACCAAGTTCGCTCTCGTAATGTTCCTGCAGTTTGCGGCGTTGGTTGTCCAATGCACGCGTCTTTTCAGCCTTGAGATCGGTGATGGCAGTCTCCATATGACCAGCTTTGGTGCGCATGGCCTCACCCATGGCCTTGCGCCGCTCTGACTCGAGTCCCTTTTTCAACTTGAGCTCGTGTGCGTGGTCCTTTTTAGCGGCTAGCGCTGACTTTTGGTCCTTCAACGCGGCTTGGTGCTGTTGCTCCAGTTCCTTGCGCAAATTGCTGACTGCAACGGATTGTTGGCGGCGATGTGTGTCCTAAATGCAGGGAGTGTCCGCGGTGAGACCCCGAAGAAGACACAAACGGGAAAGGTATGTGTGAAGCGGAAAGGACAGGAAAGAAAAAAGTGAAGCATGGCGGCCCAGCCTGCCTTGATTCAAGTGGCCAAGCGCCAACGCACCAAAAGCTTCTTGCGTTGGGCATCAAGCTGCTTTTTGAGGTTCACCTCGGCTTGATGGGAGGCATGCTGCTCCACCTGTTGCCGCAGGCGGTTCATAGCGGCACGGTGGTCCTCCTCGAGCTTGGCCTATTCGCAGGGCATCGCACATGAGATGATGTTCTGACGCCAGTCGCGGGCAACGTAGCGGGAGGCGGCGGGGTCTTGAGTTCCTTCGTGGGAGCCACCCACCTGCTGGTTATTTAGAGCAGATCGAAGCTCAGCATCGGCAGCCATGCTCAGTTCGCGGCGGAGGTCTTCCAGCTGCCGTTGTAGTTCCGCTTCAGCGTGGTGACGAAGCTGTTCGAGCTCCCCCTCGTATCGAGTCTGCATGGCTGCCATCTGACGGCGAACGGCGGCCACGGCACGCTCCTTTTCGCCCGTCACTTCGGTTCGCAGCTGCTCAAGGTTGGCTGCCTCGCGATGGTACAACTCTGACTGTAGACGGGTCATCTCATCAGCCTGTGGCAAAAGAGAAAATTGTGAGGGTGGGGCGTTGTACGCCCACGCCAAGGCACGCGCCTGATGACCAAGGGCCCCGTTGACACGCAACCTGCCAATCTCCTGCGTTGCGGTAAACATGCGCCACATACCAGTCGCTCATTCTCCTGCTGCAGCAAGGTGTTTCGCTGCTGCTGAAGCTTATCCTCCATGATGGCTGCGTATTGTGACTCGAGCTGACTGCGTAGCTGATCTAGTTCGCGATACTTTTCATCCCGCATTTCGGCCTCAAGCTGTTCCAGCGCGTGGCGCCTGTGTCAAGATTTTTTTCAGGACAAGCAATGAGCAACACAAAGGTCAGGCACATTGCAGGGTGCACTGTAACGAGCAAGCAAACCACGCACTGTTGCTGTGAGGCGGCACGGTTGACGTGATCACGTTCTTCAGCCACGCGCTGATCCAGTTCACTGCGAGCTTCGGTTCGCTGGGCCTCAAGCTCAGAGGTTAGATTGTCCAGCTCCTCTTGAAGATGTAGGATTGTTTCATCGCGCTCGGCAAGTTGTTCCTGGAGCGTGCTGAGTTGGTAGTCGGTGTGGCGACGGACGCCGCGCGAATCGCCGGCAATTCTCTCCAGCTCGGCGATGCGATTGGATTTTTGCTCCAACTCGAGGGCCACCTGGTCATCGGAATTGGAAATGTCAGTGTGGGCGCTCTGGTACATTCATTGCCGTGCACTTAACAAGTGGGTTGGTTGGCAAAATCTGCTCAGGAAAAAAGCTGCTGGCTTCATTTGACCGGCCAGCGCAACGCATGGGAATGCCGAGTCCAAACCTGTGATTTTAGTGCGGCTAACCGCTCCATATCCTGGAGGCAGAGATTGGGCAGCTCATGAAAGCGACCACCGGAGGCAGCTTCAATCTGTTAGCGCGGTGAGGTGGTGAGCGGCAAGGAGTGTTCGTGTTGGGGGCACAGCAGTATTGATTGATGGCACGGTCCGCAGTTGGATAAAATTGCGACACCACCACCACCACCAACAACAACAACAACAACAACAACAACAACAACAACAACAACAACAACAACAATAGCACGTACCCGAGCAAGTTCGGCGGCAGCTTTGCGAAGCTGATAACGAAGCTCGTCTCTCTCCGCGATGATGGCGCGAACGCCGAGAGGACTGAGATTCTGTGCAGCTTTAACTGAGGCGATTCGGCTTTTGTCGTGGCGCCAAGCCTCGGCCTCGGCCTTTGCTTGAGCCAGCATGGCTTCGGCATTAATGTTGTGGCGCGCGTCGCGCATGGCGGCGGCGGCTTGTTCGGTCTCGCTCATGCGTGAGCTGAGATGCTGCTGAAAATCCTCGCACAGGCGCACGGCGGGCGAGTCAACTTCATAGACTTGCCGATAGGTGGTACTGGTAATATGATACTGGTTTTTCAGACGCAGCTGCTCCACGCGTGAAGTGGAGAGGCTGGGCTCTGCGGATTCCATGTTTGCGCGGGTGGTATGACGGTCGTTGCTCAAGCTTCTATAGTGCTGGGTACCGATGGCTTCCTTCATAGTGGCATCCTGGCCGTACTGGCGCCGGAGGTCATCGTAGGGTGCCGCCGCCCGACGCGAGCGGGCGGGATCACCGTCGCGAGCACGATGTGAGCCGCTCAGCATGACGGCCGGTGCTGTTCCGTACCACGGCCAATCGCCTCCCTGTCGTCAGCCAAAGACGGTCCTGAGCGAGACACCAGTCGACTGGGGCGAATGATTGCGTCGATGTGGAGCCAGGTCAACTTGATCCGACGTCCACCCCCACGTCGTTGAACAAAAACGGCACAGTTTCCTGCACCTGTATCCAACTCTCCCGCAGCTACTGCCCAAGTTGCGGCAGCAGCAGCTCACGCTCTGCCCACAGTCCACGAGACCCCGAAGACACACACACACAGACGCACACACTCAAGTGCGAAAAATCAAGTCTGGGGTGTTCAGAGATACGGACGTAAGAGAGCGACACAGTGAGAGAGAAGAGGCAGAGGCAGAAAAAGAGAAGAGAGGCAGAGAGAGGGGGGGGGAAGAGAGAAGAGACGAAGAGGGAAAGGCAGAGAAAGAGTCTGAAATGGTTGAAAAGACAGAGACGCAGCAAGATTGAATGATTGAGAGGAGAGATAGAGACAGACAGACAATGAAAAAAAACCCCAGTGATATGCCAATGGCTCAAATTTTCTATTCGCTTTGGTCAATATGCTGCGCTGCACTTGGCACGATCTTCATCTTGGATGGAAAGGGTTGCCAATGATCTCAGCTGGCACGAGACCGGCAGGATGGCCCGTTGTAGTAGGGGGTGCTTATTCACCCATGGCTGCCGTTTGACCATCGCTCTGCCGCTGCCACTGAGCCAATTTGAGCTCGTAACGGTCGAGCATGTGTGATACGCTGGGTGTGGCGGATCCAAGCGTCAAGTCACCTTAACACGATGTTCAGGTATAGCTTTCCCATTTGTCAACATTTTCAAAATTTGGTGCCAGAATTTGACCGCTATAACACGATATTCCACCGCGTTGCAAAACTTTGCCCGAAGAACAGATGTCAACAACACCTATCCCTGCACAGTCAAAAGTCAACGAGCCAAAGGGCACAAAAAGAACTGACATCCTCTCTCTTGTTGTGTTTCTCTCTCTCTCTCTCTCTTTCTCTCTTTCTCAAACTGACCAAACCAATTCATCTCTCTCTCTCTCTCTCTCTCACTCTCTCTCTCTCTCTCTCTCTCTCTCTCTCTCTCTCTCTCTCTCTCTCTCTCTCTCTCTCTCTCTCTCTCTCTCTCTCTCTCTCTCTCTCTCTCTCTCTCTCTCTCTCTCTCGCGCCATTTTCCTCCGAGCGCTTGGCATCATTCAGGAGGTCCGCGCTCAGGATTCCATCCCTATTTGCTTGCTCAGACGGCAAGCAAGGGACGCCAAAGGCGCCGCCAGACTTGACGGAGCAGAGTGCTTTGTCTGCATCATTATCCCTCGTGAATCGAATCCGAGGAGGAGTTCACTCGGCGCCTGCCACGAGCAACTGCTGCGCGGCTTTGATCGTTTCTCGTCCGCAAATGGTCTGAAGTGCTCGATTCGTGACGGATCGAGAACGGCGTAGGCCATGTGGGCGCAAGGATTTACCATCGATGCCATGGACTGGAACTGCACCACCTGCACCTACCTGAACCAGGGGCGCGTCCACCGATGCAAAGGTACGGCTCTCCCCCGCTGCTCGGGCAACTCGTCAGCCCTCGTCAACCCCTTTCAGAACAGTGCTCGCATCGCTCCCCTTTCTGTGGGTCTGACCACCATCGCACCCCGCCTGTTTCTCCTCGCATCCAGTTTGCTCGGCGCCGCGCGGTTCCTCGCGTCGCCACACCATGTCCTCAGCCAAACTGCAAGAACAACAGGTCGGTCACCAATACCCGTCGCCTGAACGACACGCTGCTGGGCTTCCCCTCATCGTGAGCCTGCTTCTTGCCAACGCAGATGGCTATTGATAATTTGAACCGCAACTCGAGCAACAAACGCGCCAAAGTGACCCGGCTGTTTGCAAACACCCCCAACGATGCCAAGACGCGCCCCAGCACCGCGCCTGATTCTTTGCATGCAGATAAGACCAGCGGACGCTTGAACCAATCGCGATTGGCCCGAAGCGACTCTGCTAGCTCCTCCAGGCTATCCGAGGCAGATGCCAGCCCGATGGCCACTGATATGAATGAGGCTGAGGTCACACCCATTACCGTCCACCACATCCAATCTGACATTAGCGCCTTTGCCCAAGTAGGCGCCATGCCATGCCTCAGCTTCCAGCTTCTCGAGGTATCCGATTCGTTCGCCCCCTCTCACCCTTCCCTGTGCCTTGACGTCGCAGCCTCCTGAAGGATGCAAGGATTCCTTTGGTCTCAACCCGCACATCTCGGCACGGGCCTAGGCGGGTAGCTCCTCTTGTGCGTTCTTTTCGTGGGCTTCTAGGCGTCAGCTTTGAAACGCGCCTCGTCGCCGCAGCCGCCTTGTAGTACTTGTACTGTGGCTGAAGCCCCTGTCTGTTTGCTCTTGTGTGCACTGCGCTTTGAAAATTGTTCTCGTGTGCTTTTCGCGTCTGGCCTGGCTACCCACCCCAGCTTGGCATGTGTACTGTATAATCAACCTGCCCTCCCTCTACTTTGATACCGTGTATCAGCAGCATGCTCGCGCTGGGTCGAACATTGTTTTCTCCCTCGGCCGTGTGCGCGCCCAAATCAATTTACCAAGCTTAATTGCCGCAATCGGTCCTTCGCATCCATGCTGAGTCAGACCAAACTTTGGCACGCTGCTTGCTCACACACGCTCACCTCCGGGCAACACAGCAGACTCAGAGTCAGAGCCCAAGACGATGAAGCAAGCCAAGGCTAATCACCACATGTAAGACTTTTCAGTCACAGATTCATTTCAGCGTGACACCTACCTCTCTCTCTCTCTAAACTCTCTCTCTCGAAATCTCTCTCTCGCATTTCTCTCTCTCGCGTTTCTCTCTCACATTGGCAGAGTGCTGACTTGACGACGGCATGGCAGTGCCTGTGCTGGCCGTGATGCCGCGGTTATGTAGGCGCGGCCGGTCGGACCCAACTGTGGGATGGCGTACAGCGTCTTTAAGATGGCACTGGTTGCTGCTAGTGGTGGTTTTGCTTGCCCCTGTGCATCATGGTCGCAAGCTCAACGTGCAGCTGTGTGGCACCTCACGCACCTACTGGAGCTCTTCGTGCGGTCCGATTGGTAGGTGGGTCGGGTCTTCCGCCTTTGATCGTAGCTGGTGTTTCGGATAGCCAGCCTTGCCGGTGGCTGGCTGTGCCCTCTGACGGCCAACAAGCGATGTTTGGCCTCCTCTTTCTCACTCGTGCGCTTGCAGCGAGTGCCCAAAGTCGGCATTGTTCCTCCGGTGGTCGACTTGTCAACGAACTCTCTTGTACGTCGTCGCAATTGACGCGCTATCGCCCCTGCAGGGGGGGAACTGGCCAGGCACTGTACCTTGTTTTGTGCTGATGTGCGCCAGTCTCACGACAATCGCTCCGCTGCTGGAGCAGGTGCCACCCATTTCTCCGCCGGCTCCAAAGCTTGTGGCACGCTCATGCTGGGCTGCGCCAGCCTCTGTTCACTCGTCGAGGTGCCTTGCCAGCCGGGTCTCATTGGCTTTGCTGGCAATCCTGAGCAACCCCTCTGCCCAGAATCGGATCAGGTTTGAACCCAGCTCCTGTTCGAGTCGCCGGCGTGCGCGGCTCGTCGTTGGCACACACACACACACACACACACACACACACACACACACACACACACACACACACACACACACACACACACATGCCATCCACTGCTGGAGTATCTCGTGATGCAGTGCACATGCTCCCGCTGACGCATCCATTCTTGCTTTGGCTCCCCTTTTCTTGCTTCAAGTTTGCGGTGGCGGTCACTCGCAGCAAGGGAATCGATCGAGACGTCTCGGTGCTCGCCACAGTTAAGATGATGCGATCCAACTTTCAGTATGAACTCCACCGCTCAACGCAAACCCTCACTTGGAAGGATGGTGAAGCCGCGCCACAGCCTGTACAACTCCATAGCCCCGCCTTCTTCACTCTCCAGGGCGTTGTGGATGACCTTGGTATTGAGATTGTGCTCCACGATCCCACCGAGGGCGCCGCCATCAACCCCAAAGCCCAGCGCAAGCGCATCCGCTACGACTGCACAAGCATGGGCTCGGGTTTCTTCCGTTTCAACACGTCCATCATCACTGTTCAAGAGGATGCCATTACTGCTGAAATTTCAGTGCTTCGCGAATCCAGCGATGTCCTGGTCAGCGGTGCAGTGGAGGTTCACTTTCTGGGCAGCACCGGATCTGATGGCATCGACTTCCTCGTCGCCCCCGTTACCCGCCTGACTTGGGCAGTTGGCGACGACAGTCCGAAAACCTTTGAGGTGCAGCAAACACCCTCCTCTCTTTGATCATTCCCCAACCGTTCCACCCAACTCTTCAACGCTTCTCTCATGAGCATCGCTGCTCTGGTCTCTTCCCTTCAGATGCATTTGTCAAACAACCACGAACATCTTCCCGATGACCGCGTTCACTTTGCTCTAGCCAACCCATCTGGTGGCAACCTCAAGTCAGACTTTGAAACCTGCACGGTAACGCACTGCCCTTGTATCGCGTTGCTCAGCAAGGAGTGAACCAGACTCACCCCGACAACAAGACGTTGAACCGCGCCCACCCTTACTTGATGATCATCCAACTGCCTTCTTGTCCATCAATTGTAGGTTATCATCGAAAACACGCCCGCTGTCATCATCAACGAGACAGAACTGATGATTCGGAAGGTATGTTCTTTTTTTTAAAAAAACACTGGAGCGCCATGTTTGGCCCTTGTCGCATTTGACTTTTGGAGGCGTCCGTCGTTTGTCAGACTCGAACACTGACTCTGAAACTCCCAATAGGCACTCGACATGCCCTGGATGGAGGACATTGACGACCTCCATGCCCGCACACGACTCCTCTCTGCCTGGCAGATGATGCCCGTACAGGCGGGGCAAGAAATTATTTCGCTCAATGAAGTTTCGAAGCGCGTCATTGTGGTGTGTAGCACCGTCCCCGCTTACCGTTTCGATCCGCCGCGTGGCGGCAGGAACCTGGACTAGCACAGAGGTGCTTTATTCGCGCTTATCGTATGTTCAGCACTTATTTATTGTGGCCCGGATGAGTAGATCTCGACCGGACGTTTTCGCTACGAAAGCGGTGTCGTTTCGCGAACTCTGCTCCAACAAATCGGCCCTGGTGCCATTTTTGGTACGTTTTCCTTCTGTTCGGGAGGCAGCGCCCCTTATTGACTGCCAGGAGTCTACAGTGTCTCACGAGGGGGAGCTGGCTGGTGCGGAACACAGGGCTCTTCTCGGCCACCAAGCATACGCCCGCGCCTGTCCGCGTCATTAGCAAGACAGCTGGTACAGTGTGGGCCATCGATGTGACCACACTGCGTCTGCTGAATGAGAGTGGTTCGTTAGAATTGCAGACTGTCCTTGGACGCTGCAACTTACGCGTGCGCATGTGACCAGACCTCTTGAATAACGCGATTCACCTGTCCGATAGCCAATCAGGATGTCTTTGCGTTGATGCGCCGCCAAGTTTATAAAACCATCTTGATCAACAACAACCGCAAATTTCCCATTTTTCTCTTCCCGGGCTTTAGTACGGGTTGATCTTACGATGCTTCGTCGTGCATGCTGCCGCTTTGGTCGGAAGCATGATCACGCTCATCTCACCCAGCTTGGGTCTGCCACGTCACAATCTAGTGTCTTCGCGCATGGAGTCATGGAAGCACAAACATTGCCAAGGTTTTGACGTGGTGCCTTTGGCGCAAGTAAGTCCTCCATCCGCCTCTCTTGCACCTCCTGCACCTTCTTCCCCATGCTTCACGTACTCAAGCGTGCCGCGTGCCTTGCAATGTTGGACCTGGCCCAGGTGTGGCTTTCGCTTGAGCATTTGATGCAGACTTTGGTGGTTGATGGCAAATGTTGGCTCGACTGCCTTTCTTTGGGGCCCCGCCAGGTCTGCCGCTTGAGAAGCCTGTGCTTACAGGGCCCGTAGCCAGGCTTGCTTGTTGTTTTGACAATCACAAGTCAAGCGGACAGCCAGGGCGTTATTACTTACCGCCGTGCTCTCTGTTTTGTTGATGGCACGAGCCCATGTAGGCCGATAATGAGTGTCGAGTGCGTGCTGCCCATGGCATCAACGCTGTCTCCGAGCTCAGCACAGAGCTAAGCGGCATTACTACGATTTTTCGAACGCTCATCGAATACCTCGTTTACACGTGGGGCTTTGACGCCAACTCCTTGCTGGGCATGCCGGTATGATAGCTAGGCAACGTCCTTTGAGCTCATTTTGTGGTGCACCCCTTGTGGAGCCTCATGCTAACGTACGCCTGTCCTGGACAGTACGATTGGCGACTCTCGCCGAGCATGCTGCAGTATCGCGACGCCTTTTTCACGCGTGTCAAACAGAACATTGAGCAAGCTTACGCCCTAAACCACATGCCAGCGGTACTGATTGGGCACTCGCTGGGCAACAGTGTCATTCAGCAATTTTTTTCGTGGCTCGAGACGAATTTTGCCAAGACCCATCTGCGATGGATTCACAAGCACGTGGTGGCTTACTACAGCATTGGTTAGTTTGCGGTCATGGGTTGCGTTGGGCGCGTACACGTGCCTCTCTCGCACAGCCGATGTCCCGCTAGTCTCTGCTCTACCCTTGGCTACCGAATGAATGAACTGACATGAGCTTGCCTCTTTTGCTGGTGTTGGGTGCTTCTGAGTAGCCCCTCCCCTCATGGGAGCCACTCAGGCAACCTTTGCCACGCTGGTCGGCGACAACATGGGCTTGCCTGTCAGCAGTGGTTGGTCACGAGCCGTCTCAAAGTATCGGCAGGCATTCATCATATGCCTTTTTTGTCCCTTTATTTACACATGCCTTCTCTCGATGACAACGTGTAGCTCAAGCCCGAGGCATGGGCGCAACCTTTGGATCGCTTCCATGGATGCAACCGCGACCGGCACCGTACCCCTCCCGCCGTGGCTATAAACCGAGCCATGCCTGGTATGTGTGCAAGCTCGCGATGTGATTGAAGTTGATGCGCGTCCAGCTGCACCTTTCTCAAGCTTTTGCCTGTCCTTGGGCTTGCCGCCGATTGCGTGCAATGACAGGGGAGGACAGGGTGCCCGGACCCTACAGCTGCGCGAGCATCTGCCTTGGAACGCATCGCTGTCCCCTGAGTCCTGGCTGGTGGATTTCAACGGTGCGGTGCCCAGAGCCATTGTTATGCCAAGAGGGTCCTCACTCTTTAAAGAAGCTCACTGAATGTCTCTGATGGCGCGTAGACAACACGCCAAAGACGCAGCAAACGAAAAGGTACCTCAAGGGCATGACGCACACCTTGAACGAATTGTTTTCGCGACACGTCTCCGACGCCAATGGGGACCCTAAGACAATGCCCGATGGCGCCGCTCGCGACACTTCCACGACGTCGCATGCGACCACATCCAAAGCAACCTCTAGAGTGACATCGACTGCCTCTTTGCCTGACGATGAGGACTGGCCCGATCTGGGACAGGCGCATGCTCGACCAGATGTACGCCAGCGCTGCTGCGAGCCCGCGCCGGACCAAAAACCTTTTGATCATGCCTTTGGCGGTCCGTCAGGGGCATGTGTGGCCTCAGGTACCAACGCACCCCTGATGGCTGGCGTGGAGAATCCACCGTTCGATGAACAACCAGCAACAGAAGGTTCGCACGCAAACACCTCGTTCATAAGACGATGCATCTCACACAATGCAACATATATGCATGCCATGCGAAGATGTTGAACTCATCCTACGCTACGGATGGCCCACTCGGTTTGCGTTCTGGCATTGACGCAGGAGACCCGTCATTTTCTTCGAGAAGCAACCCGTCCTCACGAGGTTCGTCCGAGGGTTCCGCATGTTACAGGCAACTAGCAAGGCACCTGTTCTGTTTGTTTGTTTGTTTGTTTGTTTGTTTGTTTGTTTGTTTGTTTGTTTGTTTGTTTGTTTGTTTGTCGGCTTTGAGTTTTTTTTTAGTTACTAGCTGATAAGACAACTGCTGGTGATGCCACCGTGCCTTTCTTTCGACGTCTGCAAACTGATTGCTCAACCCAGAAGCACTCAAGGAGGGCTGGATGAGCCACATCCTCAACATCACGTTTCACAATGGCTCCACGCTGTCGTTGACGCCCAAGGATTTGCAAAGCGGCCGCGCATTCGAAGTCTGTTCCAGCACTTGATTGGCATGCGGCAGTTGTTTGCCTTATTCTCAGCTCACATCACCCCCCTCGCTGGTGCTTTGCTTCAGTTGATTGCTCTATATGGACTCGATAGCATGTCTGCCAACGTCTATGATAACTACGTGACGGGCGGGTATCAAGATGAAGACCATGAGTATAACCCATTTGCCTCCTTGCCATACCGCCCGCCGCTCCGCCAGGCACGGACTCGGCCCGCCCTAGCATATCCAGAAAACAAACTTGACCATGGAAAGGAGGGTGACCCTCAGACAGGTGGACAGCACACCCTCCAGCTTTGGCGTGACCGTCCACTCTGGAGTAACAAATTTTCGTGTTGGATATTTTCGCGCGCAGGTGGCCGTCATATATGGAGTGAATGTGCGAACCAAGCACTTTCTGGACCTTGAACAATCAGCTCCTGCTGGACCCTACACGCCTCGGAATACCTGGTGGGAGACCACTGGCGTACGTTTTTGAGCAGCCCCACGCCTATACCCTAACTCTCACACCCCATATACATTTCCTTGCTGAGGGTCTTACAGTCGCCCCTCTCTTTCTTTCTTACTTGCTTTCTCTTGTTTGGCTCAAAAACAGGGTACTTTGGTGGATGACAAGGGACAGGTCAAGGGCAAGACGGGCCTTCGGCGCAGTGGAGATGGCACAGTTCCTTATGTTTCGCTGTCTTGGGCTCATGCCTGGCATTTAAGCAATGAGGTTTGTTTGGCTCGCTACATCACGCAAGTGGGCCAACCATGTTACCACACCCATTGCTCGCTGACCACTACATCTGTCTGCTGGCCCGATAGGTTCGAGTGCAAGATCGACCCAGTCGCGTGCGCGAATACTACAAGCACCTTTTGGGACAATGGGGCGAACGCAACGTATTCTCCGTCATGAACACCGTGGAACCCCGTCAGACTCGTTTTGACTCATTTCAGGTGCCTGTTGGAATGCATCGTGCACACGCTTTCATGACAGAGCTAGCTTTGCTGTCATACTCTGTTCCTTGTGTCCACAAGTTTGCAAAGAACAGCTCATGGCCCATGTCTACAGGAGGGATTCTCCACCAGCATTTTCGAGGTCGATGGTCAGGAGCATCGTGAAATTGTGCGATCCCGGGTTTTGCTAGAAATTATTGATGAACTTTTGCAAGACTTGATGCAGCAGTCGCTATTTTTTGAGTATGTGCTTGGCGCTCGTTGTGCGCTGTTATGTCGTTGTTGTTGTTGTTGCTTTGTCATTGCACACTCATTTGCGGCACTCTGGCTGGTCTGACGCTGGAGCAGGGACAGCCAATACGAGGCACCAATCACGAATCAAGAATCTGTGGATCAGGAGCCCACGTCCTCAGCTGACAAGCCCACGGCGAGCTTGCCCGCCACTCTGTCTAAACGAGCCTCTCGATTCATGGACGACCTGTTACACTTTGATCGCGACCGCGACTGGCACTTGCAGGACGATGTAAAGGACTTCATGAACACATTGTCAGCGCTTCAAAAACAGTTGGCCAGCATGTTGTAACGAATCAGCCTCAAAGGCTAGTAGATTGTTGTAAAGCTAGTACATAAATGAACACACTATCAATTGACCATTTGAGCAAAGCTGTCCTTGCTCTGGGCCAGGCACCGGCTTGTCTGCAGCTCACGCTCATGCGTCCTCGTCGCTATCGCCATCGTTGCACGCTGGAAAGAACAAGTCGGTGTTTGTGTGGTTGATTGCTGTGCTTGCTGCTAGCACGGCGTCCAGCTGGGTGGATGACAAAACAGCCAGCTGCCTGGGCTTGCTAGGCATGGCGTCCAGCCTACGGGATGTTCATGCACAATAATGCAAATTTGAAACATTGTTTCATTTGGAATGGTTGTACACCTCGCCTTGAGTAATTATACACCCCATGGATATCACTAACAGATACTCACCGACTTGGGGCTACTACCGGTGGGGGCATGGCTGCCTGTTGGCTTGGTCTCACCATGGAATGCCTCATTTCTCGAACCAACGCAATACTGAGGTCGTTCATCTCTTCTCGCAGGTTCTTGTGCAAGAGCTCGGTGCTGGCTTGAAGCCGTGCCATGCCTTGGACTACCGCGGTGTTTTGCTCATCGAGTTTGGAGTTTACTACATCGGGCATGAGGCTGCAAGGTCCGCATTTGACATTACAGAGGTCGAGGTACCAGCTACGTACAACGATTGAGTAGGTCCAAGAGAGAAGAGTTGTGGTCCGCTGCTGTGGTCAGCTTGTCAGCTAGTGCAGCCACCTGAGGCAGACGGACATGACACAGACAATGATGAGCTATACATGCAATCAAGGCAGAAGAGCGTGCTCGAGGCCTGAGCCATCTACCTCTTGTGTGACAGACACCAGCGACTGTTGACTGAGCTGGAGTGATTCCCTGTGAGGCCAAATATCAATGTGTGTGGTTCACACACACACACACACACACACACACACACACACACACGAACGCAATAAAAGTGCATGTTCGACGCATGCAACCGAGCAAAGGTTTCATGCCACAGAGATGCTGCACGACCTACCGCGCCTGTTGCTCTTGACGCTGCGCATTAGGGGCCAGCACAGCAAGCAAAGGTGCCGACGATGTGAGTTGTGGTTCACGTCATCACTAGTACCATAGCATGTGCACAAAAACAACTCCAACCTCGCTGTGTCGTCGCTGCTGCATTAGTTGCAGATGCACTGAGGCATCCAATGCAACCTTTTGATCCAGCCCGTCCGAGTGTTTGGCAGTTTTGGGTTTGGGACGAAAGATGGGGGAAAGCTGGCTTGACTTGCTTGGGCGCTGGATCAGAACCAGATCTGCTGGAACAAGAGGCTGGGGCAGGTTGCATGTTGAACTTGCAGCAGATGTCCACGGCCGGGGCCCCGGTGCTGCCTCAAAGGGTGGCGTTGGGCGCTGGGTTGAGCGTTGCGAGCTGGCGCCACACGAATCATTATTGGTCGAGGTTAGGTTCTGGGTCTGGGTTTGGCTTTGGCTTTGGCTTTGTGTCTGACATTGGCTCTGGTACTGCGTATCCGGCCGCGGCAGCGAGGATTCCGTCGTCCATGCACGTTGGGAATGGTCCTGTTGTGTCTGGAAGAGAAAGTTGGGCGAGACGGGCTCGTAATCTAGAAACTGACTCGTCATGGCCAAGAAATGGGCAGAGAGCTCCAAACGACGGCGTTTCTCACACTTTCGACGCGATGATCCGTGCTTCTTCGACGGTCTTCACACTGCCGGCTCAAGCCTGTTTGCCTCGCGTGTGGTATTTCCAGCGTCACGTCTTGCACCCCAACTGGCAAATTGCGGGCAAACCACAACATGCATAACATCAAGCTGTGTGTGGAAGCTGCGTGTGTGCGTGTGGTGATTTTGTCGACAAATGTGCGATGATTTTGGCGGGAAACTTTTTGATGACAAGCGAAAGAACAAAAAGAAAAAAATTTGACATGTGAATTCTTCTACGTCATGTACCTAATTCTGAGACCTGACTTGACTTAACGCCGCCTGATGAGTAGCTCGGTGTCAGCGGCTTCGTCCCATTCATCAGACTCGTCTTCAAGTCTGATCTCGGTCGAAGGAGAGGCCAAGTCGTCCATGGCGATAGCACCGTGCTGATGCAAGGCATCCTCAAACTCCTCATCGCCAACCTCCATGGTCTCCGCTGACATGAGCAGATTGTCAACGATCCAAAACCACACGGCCTGGGGCCAGGGGTATGATGTCAAAACGAAAGTTGCAATGTGAGACCTTGATCAACACGAGGCAGCGTTTAAGAATCCATCATAGAATAGCAATGAGCTGGCTTACCGTGATAACAAAAGGCATGATGAGAAGGGCACCAACAGCTTCAAGCTTTGGTGATATCGATCGCATGGCCTCAAGGATGGCAGACCCAACCTGAAGGTACATGAGAAGAGGAAGATGAGCAAGGACAAAGATGCGACTGTGTCAAGCCATGGCCTGTCGAGCAGTCACTGTGCCCATCACTGACCTTGGCCCAAAAAGGAAAAAGCATGATGAGAAGCACGATAATCTTTTCTGCCACCACAATTGCCACGTACACGCCGACTTGCGCTGACCAGGCCTGCGTGCCCTCGACGCGTACAGACGCAAAAATGAGGGCAGTGATTAACGACAGAGGCCTGTAATTTCCGAAAAAAATTCCGATGCGGGTGCCAAAGTATGCTGTAACCATGGTGCTAAGCGCGCTGTAGCAAGTGTCCCAAGGCCAAGCCAGTCCGATTTCAAGGCCACCCGCACCTTGTAAGAGGGCGGCGAACCGTAGCGGCCTGGGTAGAGAAGGTATATCCTCTTGCGGCGTATATAAAGCGTTGAATGCTTGATCATCAAGAAAATCAAAAAAAGGCCCAGGGTTGAGTCCACAAGAATGTTGATGAAATACCTAAAATGGACAACGAGGGCATGAGGTGGGCCGTTGGGTAGAGCGCGGAGCATGGGACTATCAGCCCGCTTCGCTGTGCAGAGGTTGATACCAGGTGCAAGGGTCATGGTCAGTTGTAGTGGCAGATTGCCAATCGGAGGCAAAGACGTTGATGACATGGATGAGGGAGTTGGCGATTGCCTGCTTGCTCGTATCGAAAAACCTGCCACGATTCAGTCAGGAATAAACGCATGCGCCAGCAGAACAAATGACCAGACACCCCAAACAATGTATTGCGCCTGTGCTGCATACCAGATCTGAAGCGGTCGACGTGGTGTCTCCATCTGGCGCTTGAGAACGAGGGACCCAAAAGCCACAAACCCTAAGAGAGCTTGCACCCATAATCCCCAAGAATCGAGCTGACCACGTCTGTGAGCCGTTCATAGGGAAGTGCCAGCAAGAGTACGTTTGCATGCTAGGCAGCATTTCACCCACCAAATCACAACTACCAGCCATGACTGCGATGTGCCCGAATCTGTGTGGCCACCCCGCTTGGGTGTCGGCATGCACAAGCGGTCTGAGCCAGCCAAGTGCGCAGTGACGTGGCCGCTCTCTCGTTAATCGTAGAGATGAAGCACAAGAAAAAGCTTCTTTCGCGCCACAAAACCCTGTTCAAACAGCACGAGCACATCCATCAGCCCGAGTGATCATCCATTCCATCCCTGCTTGCCTCACCGCTGCCAGGACCATTCTGTACGCGCTCACCCAGCTCTCAGCCGTTCAAATCAAAAAAAAAAAAAAAAAAAAAAAAAAAAAAAAAAAAAAAAAAGAGATCCAAACGTCTGACAAAATGTCAGAAAACATCGATAATATTCTAGTAAGGAGGGGTCAAGTGATTTTATGCCAAGCAACAACAACAACAACACACACACACACACACACACACACATACACACACTTGACGGAATAAATTTTTACATTTTTTGTTCGGGACGAGAGGCGACTGGCATCGTTCCAAACGTGAATGACGGCTGTTTGGGGTTGAACAGCGCATGCTGTGGACAGTTGGGTTTTGATCCTTGCTTGACCAGCCCAGGGTTGACGTTGTTGGTCTACACCTTGCACGATGGCGACATCCATCGGAAATGAACGGTGAGCGCCTTGGCTTTCACCCCCACCCGTGCTGGGAGCTCTCCTGTCCTCATTCGGCCTTCTCTTGTCTCCACCTGCAACTTCCTGGGCACTTGTACAGGGCCAAGCAGGTTGAAGAGCGCCTTCAGCAAAATCAAGCACGGGACCTGCGCTTTGGCCACTCGGTGGGTGCCCGTCACTCACTCACACACACTCACACACTCACACACTCACACTCACAGAGCGCGCCTTTTTCCAATGCCAGGTTTGGGAAATGCACTCACGGGGCGGTCTTGTGGTAGGACTTGATCACACATGGACGAACCGAATTTGAAACCTCCACTCATGCCAAAGAGTCGTACGTTGCGCACACCGGAACCGGACAGCCGGCCATGGGTATGTCATCATTACGCACGCAAACCATCCTGTGTGAAGAGATGTGAGCAAAAAGATGCTCAAAAGAGGCATACCCTTTCTGATACTGGCGGCTACGTACTTCTACGCCTTGCTCGCAGGACGCCGGCGCCAGCTGTTGCAGCAGCGTCTTGAACAAGAGGCTCGGTGAGTTGTGATACTTTGGAGTTGATGGGTTTGTTTGTTTGTTTGTATGTTTTTGTGAATGAAACTGCACAATTCCCGGGAAAGTGGTATATGCAACGACTACCGATAACACGAGAGGCTCACTTGTCTCTGCTTGACCACTGGCACTGTGCAGTCAGTCGACTCAGAAACTCTTTGAGCCGCCCCCAGAACCCGCAACTTGGGAGTCCACGACAGCTGCTGCCTTTGGTCGAGACACCGCGCCTCGACCTCTTAGCCCTCATGAGGACGTCCCTGCAGAACCCGTCTCCTTTTGGTCAACTCACCGTCGTTGACGCTTTGACAGCTTGGCCACTCAAGGGCACAGCCATGGCTAGATTCGAGCTGCTTCCTGGCCATCATTATCCGTTCCTTGTCGATACAAACTGGAACCTCTTGACTTTTCGTGTCATCAACTCGATGAGAATTTCTTCTCGCAAACAATTTGTTCAAAGCTCTAGACATGTTCATGTGTGCTGCTCTTTCTTTCCCACCCTCGAGCTCTCGATGCCTTTCCTTGCCCAATACGATGCTTCTCCTCAGCACGGAGGGGGATGTCGAAATGGTAGGGCGAGTCAAACACGTGAAGGGAAAACACGAGGTGCAATATCTCTCGGCTGAATTCAGAAGAGAAAAGACAGCACGGAGGGGGATGTCGAAATGGTAGGGCGAGTCAAACACGTGAAGGGAAAACACGAGGTGCAATATCCCTCGGCTGAATTCAGAAGAGCAGTCTTTTTTTTAAAGTCGTGCAGCGTGTCTACAACCATGTCAAACACGATGATGCTCGGAGATAGTGGACGAGGGGCTCATCAGCAGGTCATTGGATTTTCCACACGTTTCTGTTTGTTTTTGCTCCAGGGATTTCACTGAATTAGACACACACACATATACACATAAACAAGTGGCAAAGTAAACAAGTGGCAAAGTAGCAAGATTGAGTGCCGGCCATCCAGAATAAGCCTGCCCCACTCAAAGATCTCAGTCTCACCCTTTCACTCTCATCGCAGACACACGCACACAGAAACAAAAAACTGGAAAAAAATATGAAAAAATTCGCGCAAAAATAAGCAAAAAGTTGTCGTGTGATCAGTTTTGTCGTTCCACGCACACACACATGCCCACTGGCCGATGTTGCGTTGGTGCGGTGCAGTCGGATTGACTTGGGTAGCCGGAGGTGGCAGGCAGTATGGTGCTGGTGGCAGCAGCTGCTGCGGGCCGGTGGCATGGGGTTCTTCGAATCGTCGTGCTCGTGCTGATGATCGGCTGTCTTAGCAGCAGTGGGTTTTTGGCGTACGACAACGGGCGCGACCAGCAGGAGGCGAATGGCCGTCACTTCTCCCAACAATCCAGCGCTCCCCCCGCGCCACATGATGCCGGAGCCGAGGCCCATGAAGGTCTTCGCCTTGCTCCACACGAGGGCACAGAGGTGCCCAGCGAACACGTAGCTTTGCATGAGTCTGAGACGGACCTTTACGGGGTGGTGGACGAGGACGATTCCCACGGATATGATCCCTATAACGAACTCGACTCGGAAGCCTCGCCTGTCGAGCTCACGTATGATTTTAGCGCGTGCTACTTTTCTGCTACCCCACCACCTGTCTACTTGCACGTCTTCGGCCTAAATGTTGACCTTGGTGGTCCCTGCCAGTCTCACGGCAAATGGCTTGTTTGCTGCATATTGCTCGTGGAACAGGGACTGCCAGCTGACAGCCTTCTCCATTCATCCCTCAAAGCTGGACTTGCGCGAACTCAACCTTGTGAAGTTTACAAGTTTGTTCCGCCTTGCTCTGTTGTATCAAAGCCCTCTGCTCACTCTTTCCGTTCTTGAGGATCCGACGACATGTTTTTGCTCCTCCGCTCACCTGCTTTTCGCATGCCTCTGCCATCACCGGCCAACGGTACAGTTGGCTACCAATGCCCGCAAGGTTTGTTGGACCCCTACCAGCACGCAGGTCTCTACCCCCCGCAATTGGCCGTGATACGACCAGATGGCCAAGTCATGAATGTCGTGTTCACCTTGAGCAATGATCTCCTTTCTGGCGACGACCACGTGGGCGTTGTACAAAAGTGAGTGCAAGATATCCTCCTTCCCTGCTCAGCTCAGCTCAGCTCAGCTCAGCAAATACATCACATCTCATTGCTCGCATGCCTGCTCCTATCCATCTCGTTGCGGGCCTGACTCAACAGCACACTGGAGCTTCCAAGTTGGAACATGCCCGAAGGTGCATATCAAGTGGCTTATGTCATGATGGTGGATCAATTGGGTCGGCAGGGCTACATAGAGGCGGCGGCGCTACAAGCGAGCGGGCTTTCGTACACCTTCCACGTAACAGGAAGCAAGCACGGTATGTGCCGACTTTTTATCAATCACCCCGCCACGCAAACGCAGTGTCTGATGCTCCTGTCTGTCACTCGGGCAGATCCACACGCACCCCGCTTGCACTGGGTACGCTGGGCGCAGGAGCGATTTCAAGCTGTACAAGAAGAGGAGCTGTTCATAGACGACGGGCTTTTGAACATCTTTCCACCCGAGCCGCGCTACGATCCAGCCACAGACGTGGTCATTGAACTTCAACTCGAAGGTGGGTCCCCGTTCTTTGCCAGGCGGTACTCTATTCAGTTGGTTCGATCATAGTAGGTGTACTTATCGGCTTCTCATCGTTGCGCCTCTGCTTGGTGTACAGAGCATGGCTCAGGCCTGGCAGAAAATCATTTGCTCGCTCTCAATCCCAGCTCTCAGATCAAACTGCGCAGTGTCACAGCGCCTGCGCTACAGGAAGTACGTCTCATCTATCGCCTTCCCAGCTCGTCACCATACCGCCCGCCTCTCACCTGCAGTGGTCTGATTCTTCTCTAGGTCATTGTTGATTTTGATGCGCGCAATGGCACCACGGGGTCGGGACCTGAAGGACTTTGGACGCTTCGCTTGCATGTGCAAATGCCACTCCACACGTGGGCTGGCATGTGGGAGGTAGGCACGTCGTGATGAACGCTGGATGAGCGCGCCACGCGTTGACTTTTGTCCTTGATTGGATGGGTGCAGATTGAATATGTTCGTTTGGCCGATACTGCCGGCAACGCTGCCTTGTACGATAAAGCCTTGGTATGTTGATGTTCTGAAGAGATCTGCGACAAATCTACCGTTGCTGTGTGTGTGTGTGTGTGTGTGTGTGTGTGTGTGTGTGTGTGTGCCAACGTGCGATTCGGATTCTTATGGCATACTGGCTGGTGGCCTCACAGATGCAAAAACATGGGATGCGGCTGGAAGCCTTTATTGGTAACCATAATCTCACCTACCACGGCGATGATCTGGCAGCATACACGGTGAGGCTGATCAACAATCACACCAAAGCCTTTTGTTCAGAACACCACCTTTCGCTCCTTCTACGACGGATACACGTCTGTACTCTACGAAAAGCCGTGACCACCTCAAACGCGGTGCCTTTTCCCATGGATGTAGGAGCTGACGTATTTCAATGACCCAGACATGGAAGCTGAGCGAGAGTATCTCAAATACATGCTGGCCTTGGAACGTGCCAAGGCTGCCGAGGCGGAGGCAGCAGAGCGCGAGGCCATGCAGCAACCCACGGCAAGTAGCTTTGCAGGAGCCGAAGGCGACAACTACAATAGTCCAAAGCAGACGGCAGACGAGGCAGAGGCTGAGGCCGAAGAATGACAGGCTTCTATTGGCGAGCATCCCAAGCCTTAGCGGCGTGTCTTTTTGGGACCCTTCGCTTCAGATTCAGACTGTGTGGTCACCTTCCACTAGAGGCACGGCAACAGCACGCACCAGCACCATGCAAAAACAAAAGCAACAACATGAGCAAGCACTAGAGCACTGCATGGATATCACTCGCGGGCCGGATACAGCGAGCCAGGTCGCAGTGTGCCAGAGTCGGCAAGAAATGCAGAATGATCCATCAGATGGAGTCGACAATTCAATCCAGAAAACTGACCTGTTGATAGTAGCGTAATGTCTCCAGCTGCTCATTGCGCTCCTCAGTGAGCTGAGCCCAACGATTAGCACGCACCTGCGCACGATACAAGGCGCGAAATTCATCCTGGCTGGAGGCCTCATCCGCAGCTTCGTCTGAAACTGTTTCCATCCACGGCGCGACGTTGACACTGGTGCCACGGCTCAAGCGTGCACCCAAGTCGCCACCCATCAGCGGCTGCCAGGGAGTTGCACAAACAAGGCAATCGTTCAATTGCACCATGGTGAAGGGGGTGAGTGAGTCAACTGCGGGGGCAAAGCAACCAAATCCATGCCAACAATTGCCTTGGCGTACTTTGGTACTGGCTTTCTTCGTCGACATGGCAAAGCTCGGGTTAAAGACGAGGCTGTCAAAGCGGCGGGGATGCAGCTTTATCAGCATATCCCGTGCCGTAGTTCGGGCATGGTCCAAGGGCAGGGTGCCCGGGCCCGTCCTGCGGAGCCGAGCAATGTAGAAAATGAGTGCGAGAGGCACACAAACAAGTGACGGCCGCTCTCATGACTCAACAAAGTCATAGTTGCAACGACTTACAAAGGCGCGCCATCAAGCAAGTGCTTGGTATGCAGACGACTGTATGGGTGATAGAAACTCTATTGCAGCGAGGTGTGACCCAACTGTATGAGTATACATACGTTGCGCGTTGACCTATGCAGCACGCCTCAAAGATCTCCACGCGAGGTCTCCTTGCACGCACCTGGTGAAACTCCAGCTCCCATAGTGCTGTGGTTAGTGCATTGGTATGCTCGGGTGACTCCATCTCTGGCATGTACACGCCGGTGGCCAGCGTATCGTTGTCGAGCATGGGCTGCAAACGGGGATATTTCTGACAGCAGAAAAAGGAACGTGACGGGTCTGCCCAGTCCTCTTAACGAAAGAGCAGTCGACAGCGGCGAAGAATGTGTCTGACGTACCTGGAGCAAAAGCTTCACCATGACCAAGGCCGCGACTTCGTTGTGGTGCTCCATGTGCAGACTCACGACCAACAGGCGCTTAGCAAAGGCGGCAACACGCTCCACAGAAATCTTCAAGGAAACACACGATATGAGCTGGAGTGGGCATGATGGGCCGCCCAACTCAAGCGCAAGACGACATGATCGACATTTTCGCACCTCGACACGGCGCAAAAGTGTGCTGTTGATGCAATCAAGAGCCTGATAGCCATTTGAGGCACATAAAAAGATTCATGGCAGGTTTCAAAAGTGCGCAAAATTGCAGTGGCGATCGCAGCCCGAAGAGCAAGATCAGAAGCGGGGAAACACAACAGTGCGAACAAAACAACTGGACCCGTCAAAAGTTGATCATTGGGTGACGACGGAGAAATGGCGCATCGCGCGGGGCGAGCAAACGTACCAAGTGAAAGTGTTGGGGTTCGGTCGGTAATTCCGCCAGACAGCGAAAGAGGGCAACCAGGAAACGACTAGGGTCAACGGTCAGGGAGCGACCTGGGCAAGAAAGTGAGATCGGGCCATGATCGGCCAGAAGCGGTGCCTTCCTCGGGAGACATGAAAGAGTCAACCCCAGGTGAACTGACCTTCACCAGATAGAATGCGAAAGGCTGCTTTGATTGAGGAAAGCGTCGCACCCAGCGTCAGCTGCTCGTTGCCGATCAAGTCCTCGAGGGCCTGTCATGTGAAGAAGCGGTCACGTGCACGCGTGGCACACAGCGTTGTACGACACAGATCAAGCTCGGTGAGGCGTGAGCAAGCACCAAAAGCCAAGTGACGCCGAAGGTCGGACCACGTACGCGGAAAATGTCATCGTAAAAGTTGGTGTCAATGAGATGGGCAAACCGGCCCAAGCCCTCCAGTGCCACAGATAGGATGGGCGAGTGCTGGGCAAACTTGAGAACGCGGAAGAAGACGGCGAACATCTGTGCCAGAATCTGTGTTTGATTATGTGAGAGACGCTTCGTGTTGGTGGTTGCTTCAATCTCCAAAAGTTCCTTGCTCAACTGCTTTTCGGCCTTGAGTTCCTACACACCGCAAAATTCGCAAGGATGTGCAATGCAAGATAAGGAAGGAATCACGATGACTCACAAAAAGGAACAGGTGCATGCTACAAACCTTGCGCTTGCGACGAGTTGCATGTTTGTCTTTGCTCTTCTTGAGGTTGCCCATCACCTAAACCAGAGCAAGCATGAGCCGGTGGCGTGTGCAAACAAAAACACAAACGAAATAACAACTGGTTCCACAAGGGAAACTCGAGAAAGCGTGGCACAACATGATGGCACGATTCCGGGTTAAAGCCTGTTGTTGAGTTGCATGAGCCATGGCGGGGGCAACTGCAGCGCGTGTGAGTACCTCATTGCGACGAGCATGTTTTTGCGCATCGGCTTTGTTGCGCACGTGGCGGTCCTGGATGCGCAAAAGGAGAAGGAGTCGTAGAATCTGTAGCAGAATAGAGTGGGTTGGTGTGAGTCAGGTAACGGGGTAAGCTGTGGACGCGCCGAAAAGACAGCGTCCATGACTTAGCCTTTGCAATGAATTCACTTGCCTCGGGATCGCACTCAAACTTGATTGCCTTTACGTGGGTGCAGATTGAGCGGACCAGATCCAATCTGGGAAAACAAAAGAAAGAACGGACGTGCATGTGCACCAGCGGCGAATGAGGTGAAGAGCATGACATTTTGAATCGTCAATCTAGGCTTGAGAAACAGCAAGAACCGTGATTGCACAGATGTATGTACTGACGTTGCGTCGTAGGCATCGTCACTGATGATGACGGTGCGAGCGGCCTTGAGAGAGCGTTTCTTCACCTAGCACCGTGCCAAGGGTTTCCGCGAATGCGTCAGTGAGTCAGGGCAAGGATCAGGGCAAAGGGCTTGGATTCGCAAGTAAGGGCAATGGACAGGGAAGCAGCGCCATCCAATCATACCTCAGGGCCGTAGTTGCCCGTCATGAGAGGCACGAGCGTTTCGATGATGTTATTGCGAAAGTTGAAATGGAAGGCCTCGGCCAAAAGGTCGCTGAGGCAGCCGACGGCGCAAAGGCCAAGCACGCGAACGTGTTTCTCCAGAGCTCCAATGTTAGGAACTTTGAGTTGCTTGAAAGCATGCATCAGGGGCTTGATGGTGTTGTGCAGCAACTTCAGAAAGGCTTGGTAGTGCGTGAGGAGGCCTTGTTCAAAGGCCCGAAGCTTGGCCACGTCTTTGCTCACGACGGAGTCGCGCTCCTTTTCACTCAGAGAGCGCACACGATAGCTGTGCGAGGCGACAAGGCACGAGGTGGTGAGATGCACACGGAAAGAGGGGCAATTTGCAACGTCAAGCTGCGGATTCGAGAGGCCACTACTCACCCAGGAATGATGTCCTTGAAGACGGCAGCGGTGGAGAGGATGGCGAGATTTTTGACGGTATGTGCAATACCCTGAAGAACAACCAGGGTGTGTGGTGTGGGTGTGCGCGCGCGGGCGGGAGTGTGTGTGTTAATATTGGCATTGTGGTGGTTGTGCGTGGTTCTGCAATGAGCATGTTGCAGCGCAGGTCAAGGCAGTGGCGCACCTGCTGCTTGCACCTGCAGAGTTCCAGCAGGTCGGCCAGAAGCTTGTGCCGGCCTTCTGGGTCCTCAATTATGGAGCTACAGAGGCGGGCGATTTCTTCCTTGGCCGCTTGCAGCCTATTGCACAGCCCAGTGGTGGCGTGGTTAGCCCACAAAAGGCAAGCGGATGCCGTATGCGTGTGGTTCGCATGGAACGGACCGTTTTTCGCGGGATACAAAGGCATTGACAGGTTCTTCCTCGGTCGCTTCAGGGAAATCTGGGCCCGTGTCGTTTAGGGAAGTGTCGTCCCCAGCATCCGAGGCCGCATCGGTCGCAGGAGTGGCGGCGACTTCACGTTTGGGTAGAGCATGCACTTTGCGGTTGACCTAAAGGGGAGGGGCGGTTCAGCAGGAGGTTGCAAGATGATGCGGAGAATGGGTTGATGGGACAAGGGGCCAGGTGGGAATGGGGGGTTTTGACGCAGGCTGTGGGAATACCTTGATGGGAAGGCGCGTCGTTTCATCGGGCTTTTCTTCCTCCCAAGACTGGGCTCGCCGAGGTGCTTGTTCGAGCGCCTCGAGCGCCTGATCGGCGCGGGTTTGCTGCTCACAGGCAAACGGGAGCATCACAGAGATGAGTGCGGGAGAGCGCGGCCCCAGCAAAACCAAAACAACACAGCAAAGATGCGTTGTATTCTTCACGCACTGCTTTGGCACGCTTGGCTGGAGCGGCGCTGCCGCCTTCAGCTGCAGAGCCTTGACCCTCTTCGCCGGCCAAGGCTTTGATGCGCTTGATCCGGTCCTTGCGCTCCTTACGGCGCTGGCCCTTGCGTGACAGATAGTGTTGCGGTTCCCTAAGCCCAATTGGCAATGTGCAGGCACGAATGAGAGCGACACAGCGGTGCTCGCGTGGACCCAAGCAGGGCTGGCACTCGAACGTACGGCAAGTCAATCGACGCAAAGTGTTGCAGCGCGCGCTTGCTATAGCTGGCCATATTTGAGGGTGATGCTCAAATGCAGCTGGCGGGGGGGTTTTCAAGGCCACGCGGTGTCGCGTGTCGAGCCAGCCCTATCCGAGCTGTGAGACCTTCCAATCAACAAGCAAGGCCGCGTGCGTATCGCTGCCGCTGCAGCTGGCTCAATGCGATGGCCCCCCTCTGCTGCCGGCCTCCTCTCGTGTGTGTGCGTGCGTGTGTGTGTGTGTGTTGTTCACGTGTGTGTGCGAGAGCCGCCGCGGAGTACAATCTCAAATGACCCCCCTTAACTATTTTAATCATGCGCGCTCGGAATTTGACGCGTAAAGTGAAAACATGCTCCTGGAAATAAAAGTTCTGGTTGCCAAGTGGTGCGCATAACACCCGCTCACGTTGTTGTTGTGGCTCTGAGGCATGTGTGACAACGTAAAGGTGTTTTAACGTTAAGCACTGCAGATTGGTATAGCAACCATCCCAACGCAGCGAATAAACAAAGACAAAGCACGAGCAAACACAGCACCAACCGCATCAGAAGCTACAATAACCTTTACAAAACATACATCGACTACCCAATCATCTACATGAACCTGTACAATACAGCCGTATAGATCTACATAAACCCCTTATAATGCGGATATTATCATAAAATCCCATTCAACAACCTTCTCGTCGTCCTCTTAAACCAAAAATAGAAGGTCGAAGAAACACAGCTCTCTCTCTCTTGTGCGCACACTCTCTCTCTTTTGCGCCATCTGCCTCTCTCGGCTCTCTGGGCCCCCTCCCTCCTACGCACACACACACACACACACACACACAGATCCACACACAGACAGACAGACGCATACGCAAATTTTCGCGCTTCTTGAGGGTGCAGATGCTCGGTCGCCCGACGGTTGGCACGGGTTGAATTGGACGACGCTGTTGAGCCCAGGTACGATGCCCTTGCCCGCTCCTCCGCCCTCGCCTTTGCCTCCGCCCCCCGCCCTGTTCCTCTCTCCATTCCTGCTTTTGCTGCAGCGACGCGTGGGCGCGCGTTGCCGCTCGCGCTTTTCAGCCATCATCTTATCCGCACATCCATCCATCAACCTGCCATCTTTCGTCTTTTGACCCTGCTCGTCCATGGCACCCAAACTCCTTCCATCCCCGCCCCCTCGACTTTTCCATCCGCCTCGCCCGCTCCTGCTTCAACCATGATCGTTTGGTGCCGCTCACTTGTTGTGGCTTTTGCTGAACAGGCGCTTGCAGCTGGCGCTGGTTTATCTGCGCTCCTCCTGCAGGCCGTGCTGCAGCTTCTACACGTCTAGCTCCCTTGACCCATCTCCACACGCTTCAGAGTCTGTGTGGGCCACCTTGCTCAGGATGGCCAAAGCCACCTCCCGGCCGTTGTCCGTCTCGGGCAATCAGGTGACCATTGGTAGCCGGCCCATCTCGCAACACTCTGTTGCAACTGCAGCAGCAAATGGTGCGGCCACCTTGCGGACGCCACAAAGCCGTCACGCCCACATTGCCACCACCAGCAGTCGCAACTCCACACCCCGTACGACGTCGCGACCCCCTACTACTCGTAAAAGCGCCTCCCCCGCTCGGCCCCCCAATCGGGCGGGTCATGAGGTCGGCGTTCGCCAGACCGCTCTAAATGCGGCGCACCAAGCCTTGGAAGCTGGTGGTCAGAGTCGCGTCCCTCGCTCCTTTCTTGCTGATGCCCTTGAGGAGTATTTTCCTTCAACCCTTGTCCACCAGGCCCTCGATGCGGCCGTTGCACAGAGCGGCGTCAACGTTGACTGGCGCGAAGTCCTTGACGCCCTTGCAACGCTAGACGCAGAGCCCTTGCGCTCGCCCTCTCCGGCCTTGGCTTCATCCGACCTCGACCCGTCCTTCCCACTCTGCACGTCCTTTGAGGATGGGCTGCAAGCGCTCTACACGCTTGCTTCTGATGAGACAACCTTTGCCCAGCTCTTTGGTCACTTTGATACCGATCATGACGGCATCCTCGACAACACGCAAATGCGCGAGTTTCTGGCACGGCTCATTGGCTACCCAAACTGTGCGGCTGCTCCTCGCATCCTCATTGAGCAACTCGTAGTACAGCTGCCAGGAGAGCCAGCGTATGGGCCCCAGGCCCCACGTTGTTACCATGGCCGTCTTCTCTACCGACAGGCTAAGGTGCGATGGCAGCTACGTGAAAGTGGCGGCAACATCTCTCAATCAACACCGTCAGCTGTCACCAATGTCAAAGGATCCGGCAGTCTGAATGAGCAGCCCACAACGGCTGACGCTGCCGATCCCACCAGCGCTACCATTCGCATGCCTCTGGCCGCGCCGCTTCCGTCGTATGGTGCCCTCCTTCACCCCAACGGCTCTACGCAACCCAATTACGCCAGTCCCACCGAGATTTCCATCTTACACCTCTCCACCGGCGTGCCGGCTCGGCGGGAGAACGCACCACTCGCACCCAGGGGGGGCGCCGAGCCCCTTGATCCCGTGCATGATCCCTCTGATTCACCCACACCCAATCGCACGGTGCGCGTCGTCAGCCCAGTACACAGCGAGCCTGACCTTGTAGAAGAATACCTCGCTACGTTGCGCGATATTCAGACTGCCAATGTCCATGACCGAGAGGACGAAGTCGAGGAGTTGGAGCGGTCACATATTGAGTTTATCCTCGACGGCCAGCACCAGTCACCCCGCCAGGTGGTTGCAGAGGCACCTGCCGCTGTTTCTAACAGTCTCAAAGGGGCTCAGAGCACAACGCGCTCGCCATCGCCACGCAAGGAATCAGCATCGGTGACGCACTCGCCGGAATCCACGCAAGCAGGCCCTTTGCAACGGCCACCCGCACGGGGCACGCTCGATGGGCGCCTTGAAGGCTTGAACCTCACCCAGAGACGGGATGAGCAAGAGGAACCCACAATGGTCAACATGCTGGAGGATAATGGGGTTGCAGTAAGCGTCGCTGCTCTTCCAGGGTCGCTGAGCGGCTCCTCTGCTTCTGAGAGTGAGAGTGCACTGCACCTCCCTGCTGACATGCGCACGCTGCGGCGGCCGACCCCGTCATCCCGAGGGGCCAGCGCCAAGTCCACTTCCAACGGCCCTGATAATGTTCTGCCTCGGTTCGTTCGCAACTTTGTGCTACATTTCGCCACTTAGCAGCTGCTTCACTCACGGTCGTAATCGGCACCACCTCACTTGTCATTAATCTCTGCCATCCAGACCCACCCCCGCTCAACACTTGCTGAATTTGGACCGCTCACTCGGCGGCGTCGCACCAGACAAGAGCATTCGCATGCCCCCAACTCTAGGGCTCGAGCGCCCCAAAATGCAACCTACTTTGCACACGGATGCACACTATAGTCGCAGTCTTTTTGACATGTCTCAAAATGAGCGCGAGCAACTGCTGGCCAATCGACCCGGAGCTGGCCTCCTCTTGATGAGCTCACTTCCCGCCGATACGCACGCCGCCGATGTGCTCGAAGCTATGCGTACTCTTTGTGCAACCAAGGCAGAAAAACTTATCAAAGCTTGCGAACAAGAGGACTGCCGTCATACGGGCTTTGTCACTGGGTACGCGGTTTCACCTCCCCCCCCCCCCCTTTTTTTTTTCATCCTCCAATTCGCGCGAATTTTGTCACAATGCCAATCTTTACCTTTGGTTGCACCAAGCTTCATCAGCACGACCCTTCGCTTTTTTTTGATGCTTTTCTATAGTAACGACATGCGCCGCATCATCAACGAACATGGCTTGACCGTGACCAAGGTGGCATTCAGGCGCCTCTGCCACGGCGCCGACGTGATTGGCATGGCTGGCATTCCCTACCGTCGCTTTCTGCGGCATTACACACCATACCGCAGTCATCAAGTGCAGCTGGAAGAGATTTCGCGCGTATCTTGTTCGTGTCATCCGCTCCCTTTGACCTCCCCCATCCCTCTTTATTGTGCTTTCGAAATCGCGGCTTGTGCCTGCCCCGACTCTTCTGATCTTTGCCACCTTGGTGTATTTTGCTCATCGGCCATAGCTGGACACCCATCTCGCGGCTCAGCACGAAGCACAAATGCCAACAACGCTGTCACGGTGAGGCCAAAACTCTAACCTTGACGTTTCGTCTTGCCCCCAGCTTTTGTGGCCTTTCCTGTCTCCTCTACTACTGATAATGCGCTTGCACTGTCTCAACTGCTGCGTGACTGTACCACCTGATGTGCTCAATCTTTGTGTCGGGGCATTTTTCCCCGTCAGTTTTCGGACAAGCCGTTGCAGGAGATACACGCCATGGTGCAACCCGTCATTGCGCGCCACTGGCAGTCGATTCTGAAAGCATGTCGGCAGTACGTGGCTTCGTCTGCCTTCTACCAATCTCAATGGAATCGTGGCTTCTAGCTGTCTGCTCTGGCCCTGCTTATCCTTGATTCCTTCCATCAATATCTTGTGGACAGGATGGATTCGCGGCGCAAGGGAACTTTGCTACCATCTCGCTTCAAGGCCGCTGTCAAGGTGAGAGAAGACCAGCCGGCTGGCTTTTCCACCAGAGCTGCCTCGTCAACGTTGGCAAGCTCTCACTTTTCGTTGTTGTGCTTGCACAGGTCCATTTTCCTTTGAGTGAGGCAGAACTGAATAGCCTGTGCCGACATTGGCGCCTGGGCGGCAAAGAGGTTTGTCTCTAAACTGCTCGGACATTCTATTCGAGGTCCATGTGCATGTGCATGTGCAGCCTGCTTCACAGCAACCAGTGACTCGCGATGACATTTGGCTGACGGCGCCGATTGTGCCCTCTGCCCCAACCCTTTTTGTGTCTGCTTGTGTTGCAGGTACATTACGGCAAGTTTGTGCAGCATTTTGCCAGTGGCACGGCCACCTCAATGCAAGCAACCCAAAGGGCTGCGCCGACCCTACCCACCGTCAACACCCCCAGCAGCAGCCAAAGGGGCTCGGAGAGCGAGTTCCGAGCTCTGGCTGCCCGTGTACATGTCCCAGTGGAGCAAAATTTTGCCGCACTTCGTCAACGCCTCAAAAAGGGCGCCATCAGCAACAGCCGCACCACTTTGGAGAATGTTCAGGCCAGCTTCGCAAGTGTGGGCATTGAGCTCACCTCTGATGACCTGGAGGTTATTCGCAACTCGTTGCGCCCTCGCAGCCAAGATGCTGGCCTCGATTTCAACGAGCTTCTTCGGCGGCTGCTCAAATAGGAGCAGGCATGACTTGGCGTCCTTGTGTCCCACCAGTACAAGTCTATCTATTTTGACCGAGTCGTGGTGGATTGTCGAATACGAGTGTGACCACCATGCTGTGCTGACTTTTGCTCTGGCGTGGGCACGGCGTTGTGCATGAGCGTTGTGGACTCGGTTCACTGCGTTTCGAAGTGAAGGCTGAGGTCTCCAATTACGTTTCGGTCGTTGCCCATAATTCGTAGAGCAGGGTGAGACAATAGATCATGCGGTTTTTGACGACCATACTCGAACCCACTGGGATGGAGAATTAAGTGGCATTTTATCAATTAAAACATCAACATCATTGCGAGAGTCCATTATCGATTGCTATGCTTTTCACGTTGTTTATAAACTTCAGTTTTGCTACTTTTCAAATGCCTGAGTGGGTCCTGGCGACCGCGCACAGCGCGGTTCGGGGCCGTTGTGCTAATCAGGCGGTGCCGACCCAGCACTGGGAGGCTCTGGCAATGTTATTTGGGAAGAGCGCCGTGCTTGGTTGCGTGTGTCCGGTGCGCTCTGGGTGCGGTTTAGCACGACTTTCTTGCGTCCATTCTTGACCGAACGATTCTTGCTGTGTCCTGTGCTTGAGGAGCGCGTCGGATTATCCCGCCAATTGTCTGAGCTGGCACTTGATGCCACGCTTGTTGAACGGGACGGCGGGGCTGAAGCGCGATGCCCTTGAGCTTCGCGGCTGCCGGGTTTGTCCTGGTGAGAACGACGCCACGAGTCTTTCCGTGATGGCGAACGACCATCAGCTCCAGCCGCAGTCTGATTTTTTAGAGACTTTGTAACATTTTTCAGCAGTCCTTGCGCGGCTTTGGTTATTGCATGCTTGGAACCAAATAAGGCTTCGCGCCTTGTGATGATGTATTCGAGTTCCTTTGGCAGGGCTCCAACGTCTTGCTTGAGTGCAAACTTCATCTCGCAAACGCGGTATCGGGCTGTGATTGTCACGCTGCTGTCCGGCCCTGCAATGTTTGAGCGAATTTCTGCCGCCTCCTCGCAAACGACCAGGGCAGAACGGAACAATGCGTTGGCTTGCTCTTGGTCCTGATTCGCGGTCAGGGAAGGAGAGCTGGGCAGCGCGGCATTTGACGGGCGCTTTCTGACGATGCCTTTGGCACGGTTGATGTAATACATTCCCAGACTCATGAGCGAAGTGGCCACGGAGGGGTGAAGGGGGCCACAACACGAGCGAGCAATCTCAATCGAATGCTTCAAATGGTCCTCGGCTTGCTCGATCAAGTCGCGTTCATCGCATTCGCCTAAAATCGCGCCAAGGCGAGAGTAGAGCATGCTCAGCGAGCGGCGGTTGCGATAGGGAACAGAATTGTTTCGCTCGGCATGCTCCAGATTCTCCTTGAGTTTCTGCCATCTATCAGAGGTAAGTAGCTCGACAACTTCCCTTGGATCCGTCAGCCTAAACATGTCTTGCAGCTCTGGCACACAAACAAGATGCGACGGAACGAGGCGAGCATCGTTGGGCCCGCCCTCAAAGATGGCACAGTAGTTGACGAGAAAACTGTCTTTGATGGAGGGTAGCACGATCGGGTTCTTCTGGTGGTCTCGCTTCTTATAAGGTCTGGCTGTCCACGCCAGCAAGGAATAGGCCGCGTCAAGCTCAAGATTGGTTCGCCTTTCCTCATCTGAAAGATAGGCTCGGCGCAGCTCGATCTCGCGACTCAGAATTTGCGTGCTCAGATCGTTCTCCCCTTTGCGGTCACACACATCAGCAAGACTGTGCAGCATGACCAGCAGCATCGCGAATTGATTCGGGACTTCCTCTGGTTGCGGGGCACGAAAGTCTGGCACAGGTGGGACCTCGTCATGCTTGAGCTGCCATGCCTTATTGAACTTCACTGTTCTGGGGCTGAGATCATCAGTTTGTTCCTCTGGCGCGATGATTTGCAAGTCCTGTGCAGGACGAAGCCCGCAGAGAAGGTCGAGTCCCGCCGCGAATATGCGCTGAGCCAGCGGAAACTGGGACTGATGAAGACACATGCAGCCCACTTGGTGCATGAAATAGGCTATTGGAAGCAGGTTCTCGCCGATCGTGACTTTGGCAAGTTCGGAGTTGAGATTCTTTAGCAATTGACTGATAGCAGGTTTGACAGGAATGGCTTGCCAGAGCCGAATGTAGTTGATGCGTTCAGCTTCGCTGCGAAAGTAATGCTGCAGGACGTCCTTACGCGTCAAATGGCGCACAGCCTTCTCCTCATCCAGATGCAAGTACTGGTGAGTAAGCTCATCGCAGCTGCGCGTCAGGGGTTTTGCCTCCATAAATTGACAGATGGCTTGGCGGGCATGGTTTTCAGTAGACTCGTCAGAGGAAAAATAGCGGCGACGCACGACAGCTTCGAAGACCTGGTGTGCAAAGTAGAGGCGACCACTGGTGGCTGCCAGCACGGTTGAAATATGCCCAAAGTTATCCATGGCCTTTGCATACCAAGTTGGTGGTACGTGCATGATGGACAAGATCTCCTCCAATTCGAGACCGTTTTCAGCCACAGCGATATAGATGAGGAACACAGCCGCAAAGCTTTGGAGAGCGTCGTCATCAGACCAGGTGATCAGGGGCATGTCCAGACGAGCTGGCGAGGGCAGTTGCTCCCAGCGGATCAGGATTTGGTTGAATAACGACTCCACGTCGGGCAGGCCGATCAAGGTTTGAAACACTTTATCCAAAGTGTCAAACGAGGCCAGCAGGCGAAACTCGTTGAGCAGCGTGCGCAAATGAAGGGGGGTTTGAATACCCTCGCTGTCAATCAGCTGCATGCGCGCAGAGAAGATGACCACAACAATAAAAAGAGGCAAAGGACATCAGCACGTGGGACCCAACGGCCAACTGTCAACTTCAAAGCAAGGCGAGGCTGCGCCTGGCCGAGAAGCGCAGAGGGCGTACACGGGGCTGGGGCCAAATGGCACAAACCTGGTTCATAAGATGCGAGGGAAGAGTTTGTCCATAATTCTGGAGGAAGGCCTTGGCAAATTGCTCTCGATCGCGGCGGGTCATGAGTGGCATCTTTGTGGAAGACCAGGTTGCTTCGGGGATTTGCTCCTACAAAGCGGTCCCAGGCACCGGGTCGACCCCGGATCGCGGATCTGTGAGGCTGGTGCTTGTCAGGGTTTCTTTGAGGCCAGCGAGTATGAGGTGGGTGCCAACGAACAGCATTTGGGAGGGGCGTGACGACGGAGACGATGATGCTCATGTGAAGGAGTTTTTTCTGCGATCAAAGGGGGTTGCATATTGTGAGGGCAGACGAGCGCGTGCGTATATGGGCACGAAGAGCATTGTGTTTCCACAGACAACGCGGGTACCGCATTTTAAAATCGAGCTCGATTCGCTATTGGATCGACAAGGGCCTTACCGAGGGCAACCAGTCATTGAGTTGCTTGACCTTGTTAAACTCGTCGGCGCCGTCCACCAGGACAACAAGTGGGCTCTACAAAGAGCGAGGGCGAAGGTCGAAGGTCGAGGGGCGAGGGATGCTGGTCGTGATGCATGGCAGCTGCAGGAATAAGAGCTAGCCAGGAGGGCGCTGGAATGAGTCGGGGACGGTGCCGAACCTTCAATGATTGGGGTACGTCGTTGAGAGCGAGCTCAAGAAGTTCGTGCCAGGCATGAAGCGACAAGTCAAAATCCAAATCATCCAGCTTGACGTGATAGCGGCGGGCCACAAAGTGGAAGAGGCGACGCGAAAAGTTGGATAGGCTGTCTGAGCTGCCGCCTTTGCCTGTAAAATGGTAAAGGACGGCGGTCTCGGGCTCACTGTCCCACTTGACGGCACATTTGGCTAGAAGAGATGATTTACCCGAACCTACGTGGCCATGCACGATGGTGACGCCAGGCTGACGGCGTCGCGTATCGAGAGTTTCGAGAAGACCGGCAGAGTCCTCGAGGGGAGCAAAGACGGCATCACGCGTGAGCGCATACATGCGGTGCTCAAAGTTGTCTTGGTCGATGGGATTGGCATGTTCCATCAGTGGGTAGTCACGCTTGATCATGGCCATCAGGTAGTCAGCTAGGTGTTCCGTGAGATCGGAGGGCCGTTGGTAGTCAAGCGCAAGCGCGGTGCAGGAGGCGAGATCGTCCTGCTGAGCAGACTGGTCAGAGCCCAACCGAATGTGGTGCGAGGCTTCATCTCGCAGCCGACGCTCTAGAGATTCCAAGCTTTGTTGCTTGCCAACATCGCTGTCGAAAAAGTCGTCTCGTTCAGTCGTCTGTTGGGCTTGCTCACGACTGTAGGCAGGATCGCGAAAGAGCAGGACGGCGCGCCGTTCCGTGGAAGGCACGTTAAAAAAGCCGACAGTGAGTTCAAGCTCCGTTAAACTTAAGTCAGCAAAGTCTTGGGCTATCGACAGCTCGTCGCTCAGACTGTTCAAAGCGAGTTCTACGTCCGCCTTTAGGGGGCGGCAGTGTGAAGGTCAGTGGCTACCAGTGGAGGAAGCGAGGAGGAAGCGACAGGGCAGCTTTGCTGGTGCGTGCGTGGTCAAAGTACACGCACTTGAGATGGAACCGATCCGTAGCGCTGGGCAATCATGCCCAAGATATAGGGGCGCGAGCGGGCCACCTGGCGCAGGCAGGTCTCAATCACTTCGTGGTGGGGCGTGTCTTGCTCGATGCCCCATCTAGATTGGTTAGAGTGCCCGAGCGGCGAGGATTGGGGTTTGAGGGGTGCGTGGCCCATTGTATGTTGCATGGTCGGGTGGCCAGAATCACTGACTTGAGGTCAATGTCGAGAAAAATCACGCCGCGCCTTGAACACTCGAGCCGGACCTGTCGCGAGCGCACACATATCCATCTGTTAACGGTTTTAAGGGGGCGAGGCCGGGGGGGGGGGAGGTGGAGTTGGCGGTTCATCAGCAGACCTTGGGGAGGATTGTGTGCGCAAGGATCTGACGTTCGACCCGCATGTCTCGGAAGCTACTCGATATGAAGAGGCGCACGACCTGGCCCAACTGCGGGGTTGGGGTTGACACCGGCGGCTCGGTCTCAGCTCCCAAAGGCGGCTCTGCGGCACCCGCCTGCTGCTCCCCGGTCAAAGTCTCCATGACCATCGGTCAGAGCCTTCCTGTTTGATACCATGAGACAACTTGAGCCAGCAATGGCACCAGGCGCATCAGGCGCACCGGTAGTAGGACCGGTAGCAGCAGCAGCAGCAGCAGCAGCAGCAGCAGCAGCAGCAGTCCGAAAAAAAAAAAAAAACACAAAACAAGCGCGCTGCCGCCAAGCAGAGAGACGAGTGTGAGAAAGCAAGGAGAGAAGAGGCAGGGACGATGGCGAGGGGCAAAGTCCCAAAGTGGTGTTGTGATACTGCACTAGAGTAGAGAGAGGAGAACAGCGGTTCGAATCAGAAGAGAACGAGGTCACAAGCAGTTTGGACAAAGCCATCAATAACAGCGAAAACATCGTAGGTAACTTACGTTAGAATTGTTAACAGAACAACACAAGGTGTACTAACATCGACGATAACGTTTCTCAGGGCCATGGGATGACATCTGACAATGAACAGACTACTTTAACAGGTTTTAGGCAGAAGGTAGGATTACATCATCGCGATTGCGCGTGTCCGTAGATGTCGCAATTCCGCCGCCGGGTCGGCTTGCAAGCCGGTTTGCTCCAGAAACGGGGTGCAACCACGGATCGCGTCACCGGACCTGGACGCTTCGTTACCCCGTCTACCGGGATTGTAGGATGGGAATGTTTGGTTACGTGATCGAGCTGTATGGGGCAAACAACCCTTCTTTCGGCCCTGGAGTTTGTAGCCTTCAAGGCAGATTGGTGGCCCTCGCACGTGGTATGTGAGAAGGGGAGGACAGGCAAGCCGCGCGCGAGAGCGAGGTTTGGGGCGAGTCGTCCATCAAGCAAAGGGTTGCCGAGCTGGCCGAGCTCTCTCTTGCTTGGTGGCACGACATGAGTACACCCTCTGGGGGTTGGGGAAGAGGGCTCAAACTGCGATTTAAGCGTAAACGAGCTGCCATACGGATAGGGATGCTGTGCCGAAGGACCGTATCGAATACAAAAGCTGATGTCGTAACCAGCCCCACATGTCCACCATTTTCGAAACCTCGCCCGCCAGGCTGAACCTATCGCGGGATCTAGATGGACCCACCCCATTCCATGGCGTGGGCCAATGATTTTCGGAGTTGGGATAAAAACGAACACTCCACGCACCACCGCGCCACACCGTAGATTGAGCAAGAACAGGTTGTTTGTTCCCTTCCACAAAGAAGTAGCAGTCGCAATCATCATAGTACTGGAGGTAGACGGTAGCATTGCCAGAAGAATCATTGTTCCAGCTTGACATCTAGAGTGGCTGGGCGATGACGTCTTTTGGCGAACCTCATGAGCATGTCTCCATGTCCTGAAGCCTAAACGCGCCCATGCCCTTTGATTGCGGGACCGCACGACACTGGGGGTATCAAGGCATAAGGAGGTACTCCTCCTGAGCTGGACCTCGGATTTTCAAGTGGCCCTGTTCTGCACCGTTTGAGCCATCGAAGGGAGCCATTCTCATCAAAGGCATCGAGACCACGGAGTGTTAGGGTCGCATCAAAACGCCCGCCGCCACCGCGAAGCAAGGCTCAATGGTCACGGCAGCAAGCGGAGGAGGTTGTCCTCGTTCTCATTGGTGGCATCGTTGGTTGTGCCAAACACGTGTTTCGCCTGTTTAACATCGCAAACGGGAAAAACAACCACAAACGCGTGGGTGGACATGATGTGGCCGACGGCGACAACCACAGCTGGTGTGTTTGTCATCAAACACACCACCAAGAAGGGGGCAAGGGGGCAAAGGCATGGGTGTGTTTGTGGGGGTCTGGTAGATCTAGGTTCTTCAGAATCATCATCAACCTCAGTATCGCGCCTTGTGCACTCGCTTCGTTGGGTCAAACGTTTGGTCCTGCTAAGAATGATGGCCACGGGAAGAACAGCCACAGACAAGAACAGTCATCATTTGATACACCACACCACCCACGACCATTGGACCTGGTTCTGTCAAAATCATGACGACCGCCGTGGCGATCTTGACGCGCCCAAACAAGGCGAATTCTTGGCCGACCAAGGCGCCACCCACACATACACCCGGCACCCACATTTCTTACTCATGGACAGTCGCTTCTTTGTTCTCGGTAACCGGGAAAATGATTCTGTTCTTGCTGAGGTGTGGTGCTGCCCGGCTTGATGATGTCACACGTCAACACATTGCCATCCCGGTCAAAAACGCCACCCACAGCTTGGTGCTTCGAGGGACATTCCTGCGTTTTTTACACTCATCAATCTCTCTTTTCCCGGTCAAGTGGAAGCCTCTGGTCGATCGGCGCCACCTTGGATGAGTCTGTCTCTGTATGTATGTTGTTGTCTTTTGACCACCACGCCACGCAACCGACAGACAGTGACGGCTCTCGCAAACCACGATGGAGGATCAGACATGGATGGATGTGTATACCCGTACACCCGTACACACCGCGACAGTGCGCGCTTCGTCTCGGTGCGCGCTTCGCCTTACCGGCGTCGGGACTGATGTCTTTTCCAATGTTGTACATGCATCACCACCACTCCCAATAATGTGAGAAACGCTCCATGTGTTGATGGCGTGCGTCTTGTCGTACAAAAACGCCAACAGGCTAGAAGGAGGTTTGGCCAGCTACTTGAACTCGTCAACGATGCGCGCACGAAAACCCTTTCAGCCTTTCTCCCCAAACAAAGCATCAAGGTCCCTTTGCTTTGCTCCCCCCCCCTGCCCCTCCACCCCAAACATGCACACGTTGATCGAGGTCATCGTGTCATAGGAGAGAGAGAGAGAGAGAGAGAGAGAGAGAGAGAGAGAGAGAGAGAGAGAGAGAGAGAGAGAGAGAGAGAGAGAGAGAGAGAGAGCGAGAGAGAGCGCTCAAACAAAAGAATCAAATCAAAGTGTTTCATGTGTGTGTGTGTCTATGGCTGTGACTGTGTGTAACTTTTGGCATTTTCTCGTCGTCGTGCTTGACGTGACGGATTTGTCTTCACCTCCTTCTCCCCTCCCTCTCCCCTTTCCCCCCCACACGCTCGTCTCGGCGCCTTTGGGCTCTTCCCGCCCTTGATACAAACACACCATTCAAGAGGCGATTGACCCGCGCAACTCGGCCGGATCGACTGGTCGGGCCGTTGGTCTCCCCACCCAACTTGCTTTTGATTCTGCTCTGACTGGTCCTGGTCAGAAATCGCGCAAGCAACAACGCTGCACGCCTCATGCGCCACTGCCCCTGCCGCTGCCGCCCGTCGTTGACGTTGTCACAACGTCGTCGTCAGTGATT